TAACAATCTCTTATTGTCGTCCACAATATCAGAATATTTCTTGGACATTACGTCCAGCTTTTCCTTCAAAGTTTGTACATCGTTCACAGCTTCTAAACATTGTTCTCCGGTCTTTTTGATTTCCTTCTTTCTGCTCTTTTCTTCCTTTGAACGTTTCCTTTCTTTCGTACGATCGATCGGCTTTATCTAAACGAAGGATTTAAATCAAACGATAAATTCTGACATAAAGAAAGGAATCAACTAATGATCATTAAATTATGCATATAAAACAAATTTTTTTAAACATATATTGATATTGACGATCATACTACAATTATGATTAATTCGATTATTCGTTAATAGAAAATTGTTAAAGTGTATTTTTCATTAATCGGCGATACATCATAATAGTGACAATAAATATATATAGAGGTTAGGTGTATTATTTTAACCGACTTTTACCTCATTCTTTTCCTCCGTCGAAGGACTCTCGTCGTTCGAATTTTTATCGTTAATCTCGTCCATCATAGAAACATCTGGGAAAACTAGAGAGAAAGACAAGAAAAGAAAGATAAAAGAAATAACGTGTTAAAAGATAACGATATTTATTATTTACTTTCTCTCGTAATGAAAACAGTTAACGCGGAAGCGCGCGCGACAGAGAGAGAGAGAGAGAGAGAGAGAGAGAGAGAGAGAGAAAGAAAGGGGAAAAAGAGAAAGACAGATAGATTCAGTTCTATGCACAATACTATATAGCGTTATCGTCGTTCTCGTAAAAAAGAGGGAATATCACGATACAAGGACAACAAGGACGACCCTTGGCCGAGTGAGAGAAAATATGGCGTTCTATAAGTTTGCGTCATGGTATTTACTAAACGTAAAAAGTACCATTTGCATTATTAAAGAACATTGATTGTTAAATCAATATAACTGGATTCAAAATCCGACACGTTCTTTTCGGCCCTTCGACGATCTTCATCGCGATCTTTCAAAATATTTTTTGTTTGAAGAAACTCTCAAATTTAAAAAAAATTACGCTTGATCCATTGTGATTCGAAATTTTATTTTCCCTATATATATATACATACGTGTATTGTAAGTACATGTAATACACTACAAGAACTTTGTTGATTTTTCGAAAAAGAAAAAAAAAAATATGATCACTCGTTTACGTCCTTTAGTTTTTATTCATATCATAATAAGAACTAATATAATTATACTTCTTATTTTACTTTCTCTAACATATGTATATATTTAATCGTTATGTAATATGACACGATTTATTCAATTCGGAGGATCAACGGACGTACATAGATAGAAACAAGTAAATCCGGTCGAAAGTATTTTCTTCTCGTATCGAAAGACGGGATCGAGAAGAAGGGGATCGTGACACGACGTTCAAAGAACAAGAAAACGTTTAGCAGAGAGGGAAAGAGAGAAAGAGAAAGAGAGAGAGACAAAAGAAAAAACGAAGTAATTTTCACTCGTTCGACAAAATACGATGTTGATATTAAACTCGTCTGTACTTGTGGTGTGTATATGTATATACAATGCGTTCAAAAGTAATATACTCTGGTAATAGGAGAATAGTGATGCGCTCGCGCAATAATGGCGAAGATGCGGATGATACGATGGCGACACGGAACGAAACACTGCCAATGTAAGAAACAGAAGGTACCTCCCGAGAAGTCTCGCTTGTTATTTCGGGAATACGTACTCTAAAATATCTATAGTTAGACTATCGTAGAGACGTTATACACGAATGTAGTTGGGTACTCTGTATCGTATTTGTACATGGAAGAGGAAGAGGAGGTTGGAAAAGAGGAGCCACCCTCGACATAATTACATCGTCGTCAATCTTACAGAAATTTTAAATGGCGTTTAATATATTATTAAATATTAATTTCCAAAAGAAAAAAGAACTTATTCATTACCAAACATTTCAAACAAAGACACAATTAGATTCGAAAAAAATAATCAAAAACGACGCATTTGATCGTTCTTTTTTTTTCCTTCTCCACTTTCTCTTTTAAGTATGAATCTCCCGCCAATTATATTTTTATCGCGCTATCTGTAGGATATTCAACGTACTATTTTCGATGCTACCTTATTATGCAAGTTTATTCTTATCGTATTTAGTCTTTTCTATTTAGAAACTATTTTATCGAACGCGATTCTAAATTCGTCTGTTCTACTTGAAAAGTTTCATTGTCCTGTTTGATTTCATAGAAATTAGTTGAATGATGCATGTGTTTTTCAAGTCGTACGATTATGAAGTACAATTTATTATAATTTCTTAGTAAAATCAATTTCATTATCGTTATTTCGAGAAATCAGTACATTGTAACGCATTATAATATTTACAGTATTCTACAATAGACTTTGATCATTTAGGGTCTTTTATCATGATTAATCAAATAGTTATATTTATTATTAATAAATTATATAATTACATATTTATTAATATTAAATAATTAAAATACAAATAAATAGTTAAATTTATTATATATTAATAGACAAACAATTAATATTTCATAATATATATTAATAAAAAATCTTTTTGTAAAGATTAAAATTATTTCGTTTATTAAAGTAAGGTTAATAATGCTCCCATTATATTTCTCATTGATGGTATAAGAGAAGATTCATGTTAGTAGGTATCATGCTCCAGTAAATAAACATAAGGTCTCCTCTTTAAAAGCATCTAATAAAAATGAAACGTTCAAAATTAAGTTTTTATATGTAAAAATCGAAGCATGCACTTTGGTTAATGAAGTATACGGAAATGGGAATGGTAATGACCGAAGATATTATAAGATTTTACAATCGTTAATAAAGATAGTATTTTGTCACGTAAATGTTATCAATAAAATCATTTGTATAATCAATCGATGAATCCAATTATATGAATGACATTTTATAAGAATGAACCTTATATTTCAGAAAATATCAATTTAAATCGTGCCTTAACCTATATTTTAAAGAACACGTAACTTCTCAAAGTTTCTTCACAGTTCATCGAATCCGTTGAATAATAGTGATCGAAAAAAAAGAAAACGTTGTTCTAAAAATAAATCCGATCTTTGTCGACGCTTGATACGACATACGAATTCACTAATTCCCGTTTTTTTCCCCTTCAGACCCCCTTCGATCGATTTATTTGCACAATGCAATTTAAAACGAACGATCGTTATGCAAGAACCGCGAGAGGAATGATTTGCATCGACTTTCATTGGCGTTTCTGGCATTGCTTATTGTATGATTATTAACTACCATGAACGAAAATAACCTCGTCGACAATATGCTATCTTTATTTTCTTCCCTCAACAGCTAATGTTCTAATTCGAATCTTTTGTTTTTTTAGTCTCCGTCAGGACAATTTTACTTTCCAAAAGAAACGATCTGTCTATGTAAGCTAAAACAAAAAAATAGAATCGCTTACAGATTGTATGGATTTGTACGCGTGTAGATAAGTATATATATATACATGTACGTACGTACGTCGTATGACATACGTCAAGTGTGTCCTCTTCGGAACGCATACCTTTCCTTTAGTTCGCGCTTATGATAATTATTAGAAGCGGTCCGGATGTGAGTGCCGATAAAATGTTCATCGCAATGTAATACGAATGATCTTATTTGCGTTGGCAAATAACCTATCCTTAAAATTTTCTTAAGATTTATGGGTGATCGTGCCAAAATCGTAATTTCGAATTATTATTAACGGTTTTTCATCGATACATGCGCTTTTCTTAATCCGTTAAAACTCGGGAAATAGAACGTGTCTAACGTGTTAAATTGTATTGAAAACATTTTATGTGTTAGAGAATTTGTGAAATTCCGATTTTCTTTCTTGTCGATCACGATTATAACTTCGTAGTATGAAAATTCGTACGTATGATTAATTCGTTGTCATGTACGTTGGAGCAGCTCCAAATTCAAACGTCGATCTATCAAATCGTTTCCTCGTATCTAAGAACGTTAATCGGTATTCGCCGGCAAAAAGATAAAATCGTGTCCTGCATCCTTGAAAAATCAATTCTTCGTTCTTCGTCTAGCATAAGAGAGACATTATCGTTATCGCATTTGAAATTCTTTGTCGACGCGACACGTGGAAGTAGTCACCATGTAAAGAGAATGATCGACGTTGGATGTATTATTTATAAGCATTCACTAGCAACGTCGAATTCGTTGATCGTGCGAACTTTCCTTTGACGTGAAAAATATTGAAAAGAGAAAAAGAAAGAAGAAAGAAAATGCTACATGAAAAATTCTTTAACAGATAACAACAACAATAACAATAATAATAATGATAATAATAATAATAATATTAATAATAATATTACCAGATAATACTTAATAATTTTGGCTTGAAACTCTTTTAAAAAAGCATTATAAACGTTACAAATGTAATAACATCGAATTTTATATAAATATCTAAATAATTATTAACTTTTACACTTTTATTCGTCTTACAACGAAGATACAAAGTTTTTCAAAAGAACATAAAACTAATTAATTCGAACGAGAGAGGTCAATAGAGATCACGAAAGAATAATAGCGAGGATAAAGAAATAATTTTTTTGCTCGTAAATTATTAGCTACTTCTTTACTCGTAGATCTCGCAGAGGGCGATGTTTCGAAAAGATCCGCCAAAGGTTTGAAGTAAAGCCCGTGCAATGTGCGCAGTTCGGTGAAGAATAACGCATGCGCAGTAATACATTTTCGCGATGAAGGCGCGCACGACGAAGCAAAGATGCGAGTGAACGCGTGTTTTATATCAGTGAAGCGCCGGCAAAGCCGGAGGAAAGATGTTTCTTTGTAATCATCATCTTTTTTCGCTGAGTTTTCTTCCTCGTTGTACGAAATAGAGCCGATCAAAGTTCGTAGATTCGCTTTGACGATTGATTTCACGTTGTAGTTTTTTAATTTTCTTTCCTTTATTTTTTTTTCGTTTGTTTGTCTACTTTCTTTGGGTTTCTTTGCTGTTATTATTTTTTTACATCTTTTTTTATTCCATATTATAACTATATCGAAACGATTTGAGTGAAATAACGAAGTTGATTTCGCGTCACGTTTTCGTGCTCAAACGGAAAATGATTCCAGAAGAATAAAAAGTTTAGAAAAAAAAAGAAAGGATTTTCTTACTTTTTCTGGTAAATCAGGAATCAAACTTATTCAAAGATTTATCTTCCGGATCGTTGTGGAGTCTTTCTCGATTCTTTTTAAAAGAGATCGAAAGGGGAATAGCCTTTTAAAATCCTATTTTTTTAATTTCCTTTTTTCCTTTTTTATTTTTCTTCTTCAGTTTGATTTCTTTCTCAACGGGTCTCTTTTGAAAAGTAGTTAGAGAATTTTGGAGCAAAGTAGTACGTCTCTTAATTGTAAGAATAATCAAGTACCGACAACTCCAGCTTCAAAGTCGTTTAAAGAAGTAGATTTCGAGAATAAGCGAAGGGACGAAGGGCCCGGTGTTGATCGGCCGGTGTTGTCACATCTCCGAAAACGAGTATGAGCAAAGCAAGAAAGCTACAGCATCAGCAACAACGTTGAAAGTAGAGATACGATAAGAGAAAATACTTCGTTTCCCTATTAACTGATCGTTTGAATAAAACGATGTATACGTAGCGTTCGAGAGAATTTATATAAAAAAAGAAGAATTTATTACCAGTTTAAATGATACTATGATGATGGAGCGAATTTTCGTTGAATTAATAAAGATAATGAATGATTGGAAAGTCGCTTTAAGGAAATAGTAACGTTCTTGGCACGACCCTAAGACTTTTTTATCTGGTTAATACGAAGAAAATATATATTAATTAAAGTGATAGATAAATTACATTGTTAGATTAAAGAAAACAAAAAAGAGAAAAAACAGAAAAGAGAAAAAATAAGATGAAGGTGATCGAGGAAATAACATCGAGTTTCCATACGGAAGCTTGGCAAAATGATAGCTTGTCTATCGTTGATCTAGCAAACACAATGATGACCATGAACGTTACCGTTCCGAATACACCTAAAAGACACGTGACTTTTATTTCTCAAGCAGTTCTCACATTGGTGTATATAACCGGTGTTATCGGCAATGTGTCCGCTCTGGTCATTCTTTTTCATCGCGATAAGGTAAAGAAAGAGAAGAGACAATTTTTTTAAATCGTTCTTCTCACTTCTTATCAAATATTTATTTTTATTTTCTTTCTTTATCTCTTTCTTTCTTTCTCTTTTTAGAGGAGAAATCGCAAACACCTGCTGATGCTACGTTGCTTGGCAAGCAACGATCTCGTCGCATTATTGGGTATGTTGGTCCAGATGTATATCAGTATCTACGTAGCTGGTGTTACATCCAGCCGAGCATTTTGCTCTCTGCGAGTCGTATGGAGACTGTTTGGATTATTTAGTGGCTGTGTAGCTATCGTAATGGCTGCTGAAAGATGGCTAGCTTTGACCAGGCCTTTCGTTTATCAAAAGGTAAGTAGACAAAAGATTCCCAATTAAAAACATCATCACGATATTACATTATGAATTTTCAATAACTTCGTTTGATAACTCAATCTTCGTCCGTTTATAATATTCGAAAGAACAATATAAGTACTTACAATGATCATAAAACGCGTTTAATTAGCTAGTTATTCGTTTAACGAGACTTTTTTCTCATTTAAAGAAGACCATAAACTTCTTAATGTGCGAAAGAGGAAAGCAATAACAGATATCTACTCTTCTTTTTCTCTCCTTATCTCTCTTTGAGAGTCGAAGTTTAGTGACTCGTACAGACATCTCAAACTTGTTTTCTTTTGAAATAAATCGATGAGTAAGATAAGCTATACGTTCCTATTCTTATATATATACACACACATACACATATATATCTATATATATATCACATATATATATCTATAAGTAAGCTCGGTATATGTTATATCGAGATGTCCCATTTTATGATATTCTTTACCGATCTACTTATTAGTCCGAAAGAGACGTAAGTAAGTACTTAATTTCTTATATATCACACGATAATCTTACAGAGAAACAAATTAACTCTATGAAAATAATTATCACAAATCGTAATCGCTGTAAAATTTGTGTTAAAACGTCGTGTCTCACGATTAACATCATTCGTCATTAAAATTCATAATTCAAATATTATAATATAATATTATATATAATTAAAATTCATAATTCAAATAAATTCATTAACTCAATAGATATATACGGGAAACGAGAAGAGAGTACTAATTTTTGCTACTTATTTGCGCGTTCTTGCGTTCGAATTGATGTTAAGATTAGGATATACGATTGAAAAGTTTCTTACATCTTCATTTTTAACATCTTACGATGATACAAATCTATATATCTTCCTTGTTACGTTAGAATCTTTTCTTTGAATCCTTTTGTTTTATTTTTTGTTTATTTCCTTATTCGAGAGGAATGATTTGAACTACAGCTTGATGGATGTGGCGTTAAAAAAGTCTTCGATTTTAACATCCGAAACTACTTTCTGTTACCTAGCTCTCAGAGTATTGAAAGGTAAAAGATTCTCTTTAGGATGATCATCGTTCTTTCTAGTTGGACCAACAAAATTGTATTAGAGTGGTTACACCTATACAGATTTTGAAATGATTTTGTTATAAGAGTAATGTTTACGTTCCTTATCAGACACTTATTATATCTCGATTAATATTTATCTCGAAATAACGTGTTTACATTGAAAAGTGTGTCGCATGTACAAGTTTTTTATCAAAATTTTCATAGGTATCTATGAAACATAGAAAAAAAGACACGTTTTATCGTCTGCATGAAGTTCAAAGTTCATCGATGATAAAGATATACAAACATTCCTAGTAATGATAAACAAAGTACGCATGGTTTTCTTAAAACGGAGATTAACATAGTCTCTCTTATTTTATTTATTTTGCATCGTGAAATTTGATAATCAGACAACACAAAAGACATCGATCAGCCCTCGTTGACTTAATTGCCATGAACACGGTATTTCTTTATTTGTTGAATATTCAAGGCCTAGAAAGTATTAATGAACTTCACAAGTTTGATTATTAAAGTTTCAATCTTATCGAAATATAGTTCGTCAACTACCTCTGAGAAATATTTGTTACGTTCATTTAGACATATTCTTATTTCTATGAATTTATCATTTATATTATTAATGAGAATGTATTTAAAAAATTATTCTTCTGGTTTGTCAAAGAAAGTGAAAGTTCCTATTGTCGAGATCTCATCTAGGTACATATCTCTAGAAAAATGAAAAAATGAGACTAAAAATGAAAAGTAGCAAAATTTAAGCAAAATTTACACGAATAAAAGTAGTCATTAGCTTCACGTTTTGATAAGATATCAACGAGTGATCATGTAATAGAATTTATTTACATTATTCTTTGATCTAAATCCTTTAATAAGAAAGGTTCATTCGTTCGTCGAATAAACGTGTATGAATCGGTGGGAAAATGAAAGAGATCAGTTGGGATTATAAGGGTGGATTATGTTTATGCTACCACAGAATTGGCGTATTCAGTAGACAACTTCTGATCATAAATCTTAACGCATTTTTTTTTTCGTTAATGCTACTACTTATGTTATGTCGTATATATAAAGTGTTACTATTTTAAGAATATTAAAAAGTCTTACAAGTGCATTAGAAAGATTAAAAATGTATATATATATATATATATATATATATCCATATATATATGGATATATATGTTCTTAAAGACAATTCGGCAATGTTTACAGGTCAGCAATTCAGTTTATGAGCACGACTTAAAAGTACGTAATGTCAGAATAAGTGATCTGGTAGGTGAGAAATCATTTTGGTGCACGATCGACTAGAAACTATCTTTTTTCTCCTTTTTCTTCGTCATCATTATCTTCTTTTTCTCAATAAAAAAAAAAAAAAAACAAATCCTGAATTGATGAAAATTAATTTTTTATCTTTTATTGTCGTGCCCAAATAAAACGTTTCATCGAATTTGAAGGATTATCTAATAGTACAAATTTGAATCGATCACTTTCGATTTCAAAATAAATATATATATATATATATATATGTATGTATGTATGTATGTATGTATATATGTATGTATATATAGTATACGAGTATTAATTTAGATCAATTAATATCATTGAGGAAGATTTGACCCACGCGAAGTCCATACCGTAATTTCTAGGAAAGCCTACCCTCCGATATAATGGCAATGAGCATGCGTCTTACCAAGGGATTATTGAGGGTTGATGGGCAATCACGAGTCGATTCGGTTCTCTCCTCGAATGAAATTCTTTCTCGTGCTATGAAAATTCGAACATTGACGTCTTTTATTTATATCGATTCTCTTCACGTTCCGTTCTTTAAAACACTGTAGTAGTAGGATAGCAGTAACCGTAGTAACAATATCTTACGTTCACGATCTAAGCTCTATTTTGACGAACATGTATTTTTGCCAGACGCGGATGTTTACAAGGTCCTCAAGAATAGTAAGATTCTTGAGAGGACGTTAAATCAACAAAATTCTAAGAAAGATTCTTGGACACTTTATATATATATATATATATATATATATATATATATATATATATATATATATATAATATTTTGATCTAAAATAACAATCTTATTTTCGAGGATCGATTGTAATTAAAAGGAAAAAGAATCAACGCAAAATAAAGAGAACAAACTGTACGAATAACACGAAAAACTTGATTTAATGATAGAACGTCTTCTGTAGCAATGCTCTCGAAACGTCAAAGGAAATTTGAAGTTATGTTTGAGATGTTCCAAGTGTCAAAGATGCTCTATTTAAATTAAAAAGAACTCTTGTAGCTTCTTCTCTTTCTTTTTTCTTCTTGTTTCTTATTCAACACTTTGTATCAGTCTCTTTCACTTTCTCTCTCTCTTTCTCTCTCTCTCTCTCTCTCTCTCTCTCTCTCTCTCTCTCTATCGCTTCAAATTTTTAGGCGTTTTGGTAATACCATTATATTAAAAAAATACCCACATACTTATTTACATACAATACGTTTTTAATTTGATATTAATCAATAGAAAATAATGTTAATAATCTTTTGATTGAAATCTTCGAATTTATTGTCTTATTCCTCTAATAATATAGCGAATGTTGCAACGAAATATGATCATCGAAATAATATATTTTTATAAATCCAACGAAATGTTTAATATATATAACATATAAATATTTATATATATTTACTTATTTATTTGTTTATATATGTATTATATTTGTTTATATTTGTTGTTCATATTTGTTGTTTATATTTGTTTATATATTTATTTCATATCTTGTAATACATCGATATCGTTCGATATTGCTTCGTCAATTTTCGCTTTTTATAACTCTTCGAGCTTATTTATTCAAAAGATGAGAGCTAATATTGTTGTTGACAATAACTTATAAGTTACGATACATTTTTTGTATTTTGCGACGTTGTACCTTTGAGGAACGTGAACACATGAAAGTCGCTTCTCATTCCGAGAAAAAGCTTTTCATTTCAATTAATTAGAAACCATTCTGTGATCACATTTACTCGTCCCTAAGGATCGTCTGAAGATCATTTTCAATAACATGTGTAATTCCATGGTCTATAAATACATTGGATTTTATTTTAACCTATGAATGAAAGTAATGACAAGTAAATTATAAATAAATTCGCGATACATTCTAATTAATAATAATATATTTATTTTCTTTCTCTTGTTATCAATCATACATTTGACGATCGGTAAGATAAAGCTTATAACAATGACGAATCCTCGCTCAAAGGAACTATTATTTTATGCATACATATTTACATAAAATATGCTATTCTCGTAGAGACTCGATGTCATTGTTCGACGTGAATATCATAAAGAATATCATAAAATAGATGAATATACTTGAAGATCCGTACAGTTCCTTTCGCATTCCTTCAAAGAATTTTTATGCTTCAGCAAACTTTTCTTTGATTTTAAAGATTAGCAATAAATAGCAGTAAATTAAATAAGATAAATTTTTCGTGATAATTTTTGACAAATAAAGAATAAGAAAGAAACACATCATCGATCACTGTCTCGAATTTTATCGAAATCATGAAGGATGGTAAATTAAAATGAAGGATGGTAAATTAAAATGAAAAATGAATAATATTTTGTTGTCCAGTTTGACTCATCGAATCCTTTGCTTTTCTAAAGCGTATGTTTGTATAGACAGTCGCCAGGTTCCGATTCTCATATTATCTAAGTATCGTTTAACGTATAAAATTTCCCTACTTAATTGATCGTTCTTTCATTATAATTCTATAGTATTTTTGTTAAAGAGGTCAATGAACTTTTTGGCTCAATCGGTGACACACATGTATCTTTCAGCAGGTGACGTATCCGGTAATTGTCCGTTGTATGCTGACACTTTGGCTGGCTGCTCTGTCATTGACCAGCCTGCCGGTATTAGGCTTCGGTCTTTATTACAAAGATGATCACTGTGTTCGATATAGAGAGGCTACCGAACCTACTGACATAGCTTATGCATACGTGTGGTTCGTTTTCGGTGAGTGCCAATAATCTTTTGCAACGAGAGTGTACGTGCGTGTATATGTGTCTAGATATATAGAGTATTTATATAGGTATATAACTACTTCAAATTATTCGATAATCATTAATTGCTTGCTTTTAGGTACTCTTCTCTGTCTATCCATTGTCTGGTGTAATTTAGCAGTGTCCAGAGCGTTAGGTAGATTAGGTCGTAGAGCTGGAGCACTGAGACGTATCTCGAGGGCTTCTTCAAGAGCAAAACCATTGTTAACTGTAACTGGACCCACACCAGAAGTCGTCGCAACTGCTGAGGAAAGAGCTTTTGCCCGACTTATGGCAGTGCTTTCGATATCTTTTGTTGTATGCTGGATGCCACAAATGGTAAGAAGATTCATCAATTCGTTTTATTGTTTAAAAAGAAACACATATTCTGTTCTCTCTCTCTCTTTCTTTCTGCCTCTTTCTTTCTCCTTTTCTAAGATTTGTACTGTTATAAAGGCCTTTCTCTTTGTGGAAACGAAAAAAGCTCAACGGGATAGATTTTTCTTTTTTCTGATCTCCCTTCTCCGATTACTCTCATTAGGTCAAGGTCAAGTATCCGCCACTCGATGCAGTTCGGCTGCGAACGATACCGTGGATTGTCGCATAAAACTACGAAGAAAAGCCGTGAAAAGAGCCCTTTGATTTATATCACGGAGGGTGAAATCTAAGTTTCTTCTCTCTCTTAAATATCCTTCCAAGCTTATGTTTATGTCTCTTTTTTCCTTCTTACGAAAACAATGACCGTTCCTATGAATTCTTAAATCATAAAAAAAAGAGTTATAGATAGCAAAGATTTTGCATTCTCTTTTATTTTATTAAACAATTAGAAATAAAAAAGAACAGTTCGACGAAGATTGTTTGAAAAATTTTTTATTAATTCGTTTATCGATAAAAACTCTTTTATGATGATAAGTTATCAAGAACTTTCACGAGTACTCATAAATAGTTTTGTTTGAGTGTCCTTCGAGTACGATGTTTTATCTGAAGAAAATGATTGGACTGTTTTTAGCAAGGTAACCCTGAGATAAAATAACGTCGTGGAAAAGAACTTAGCTTCCGGCTAGTAGCTTTTATGGGAAGCGATCGTTTTTACGTGACGTGCTTGCAAGGGATATCGACGTTGACATTTTACTCCTACGCAGTCGAAACATCAATGATATTTGTGACCAACTCGTTTCTGGTAGAATTCTAAAAGCCTTAGAGTTGTTTTTCGTTTCGTTGTATTACAAAATATCAACAATAATTTTTTTGTAAGTTTCTAATGAAATCGTTGATCGAACTGAAAAGAAATTGAAGATTTTTTTTTATTTAATGATATTTTCAAATTAATCACGATTTATTGATTTGTCTATTTTTATTATATCGTGTTATATAAATTTTCCGATAAAACTGATAGAAAATGAAAAGTCGATAAATTCATCAAAAAAAGATTCAGCTCTTCTACCAACTCATAATTTAATATTTAATAGCTACGTATCATTGTTTTCAAATGTTCTCACGTACAATCCATCGAGACCGACGAAAACGTCGCGACATAGATTGGTTCGATTAAACCGGATATCACCGATAATAACGTTAGGTGTTTGTCGACATATGTTTTATACAGCTCGGACATCAATCCTTTATGTTCGTTTAATGAAAATCTACCTACGGTGAAGTTTCTCAATCTATGAATTTGCAAATAAGAAGAAATTGTCAGTCAATAATTTTTGTCAAGTCACACTCGACATGATTTTTGACTTGGATCACGCTCGATAAGAATTTCGTAAAATTATTAAAAACGGTAATATCAAAATACGCGACATTCACCTATTGTCCTTAATTCAATTAAATTTTCTCGGATGTCCATAAGTTACCTTTAATATACAGCGAGCATTTAACATTGGATGACTATAGTAACCTTTGTCGAGGCAAAGATCGAACGCACAATTAATTCGTCGTCAATTTATTCAATTGTTTTTAGATTTCGATTCCGCTCGCACAATTCTCTATGACTTTAACGACGAAGATGGTGACTTTGAAAAGGTGTATCCGTGCTTTTCACATTGTCGCCGACATTCTTTTGTGCATACACTTCACTTTGGATCCATATATTTACGTTCTCCTTCGAATACCTCGACCAAGATTCCGTTTGTTGAAACCACTTTGCAAGATCTGCTGGCCAGCCAGAAGTCGATCAAATTCGTTTACAGGTGAGATTCGATTTTTTTTTCTTCATATTTGCAATCGATAACGCAAATTGATTATAATCTTAATTTTAGGAACAGGAGATAATCACTGCAGCAGTGGTGATCCACCAACCCCTATAACCGAAGCACCCTCGACACCCGTTAGCGAGGAACACGAGTCAGAATTAGCAACCGTTAATGTTTGAGATCAATACGAATTGATCGTATGGATCTCATAAACGATTTTACGTTTACACAATCGAAAATGTATTCTTCGATGTACCAAAGTTCTATATATGTATTTCTTATTTACTATTTCGTATTAACATTTCTGGATTAAATTCGGGACAAAATCGAGGCATTCCATGAGACTTAAGATGAAGAAAAAAGGATGACAAGTTTGTGACTGAGAGTATTGCAATTATAAATATCCATGGGTTTTTTATCTTTCTTTTTTCTTTTATATATACTATTGTCGAAGGTTTATGCATGAAACGACTTTTCATCGAGAACTCCAATCATTTGCTTCATGCAAATGACAGTGACGTTGACAGATCGGATACAAACCTAATCTTTCGACAATCGAATTATGATCAAACGTACTACGAAAATAACCGACATTTTTTATATTTTTATTTTATGAGAAATTGTTAAAATTGTATAATTTGATTATATGATCAATGAATTTTAAACGTATATTACGTGCGATTGAAAGTGTGAAATAAAAGGAAATATTTAAATACACGTTTCCAAAGCACAGTTACACGATCCAAATTATTCTACATATATGTATATACATTATAAATGTTGACATCTGTGTAGATATATTTCTAGTCAGAGTCAAGCAATGTAACTGTGAAAAAAACAAAAGAAAATATACAAAAAGACACAAAAAAAACGAAAAAAAGAGAAATTTCATTCGTTTCTAGTGCAAGAATACCAAAATAAGGAGATCGATTATTCTCCGCACGATGTTTATCATTACGCGCGTGCATTTCTTTTTTTTTCTTTTTTATATTTTATAACGTTATTATCAAAAAGAAATATTACTCGTGCCATTTAATGATACTGTTGTTCTAAGTGTATAATGTGTGTACATGAATACATATTTACATGTAAAATAAGAGTACACGTTAAGAGGAACGAATATATTATTATCATTACTAATAATAGATTTATCAATCATTTTGCATATCATGATCGCATATCGTTCGATGCGTTCGTTATAATTTCATTTTATATGATTTTTTTATATGTTTTCCTCAACGAATGATATTTATGGTGTAATAAAAGTATTCATGCATATAGGTTATTCTGATTAACCGTTTACAAGTTTTAAATCGTCTTTAATACAATTATATCAACGAGCATTTATAATTGTACATAAGAATATTACATATAGATAATTATAATCAAATATACTGTCTACGGATTGTGACGTACAATCGCAGGCGATGTAAAGCACGGAGATGATATCTATTAAAAGAGAAAAAGAAAATTACATAATTATCAAATAAATATGTACATTCATAATAAATGATGATACAAATTCCGAGAACATTATTTTTCATAGTTCTTGTGTAACTTGGAATTATGTTTTCAATAATAACGCGAGAAAAGGAAAATACATATAATACAAATATATTTACGATATATTACATTTTCCTTTAGCCGTTCATAACACGAATCTTATAGTCTCGTATCTATACAATTCTAATACAAGACTGTTCTCTATTACACACCAAAGATGCATCCAAGTACTGCATTCGTACGGTTATTGACCGAAAGTATAAATAAATAATGCATTTTTTCTTTTCATAAAAAGGAGAAGGAGAAAAAGATAGGGGAGGGGGGGAGAGAGAAAGAGAGAAAGAATATGAGATATTCTTCACAAAAAGACATAGTAGAACAGTTTTCTATACGGCAAACAAACAATTCTTTTTCTTCTATAAAAGACCAATGTCAAAGGCAAAACATTTATTAATATATTTTGTTGTTTTTTATCCTTTTTTTATCTTTTATCTTTTTTTTTTACTTTTGTTCAATTTTCTCTTTCAAAAAATAGATTATTTCCACGAAAAGCTTAAGCTCTTATCCTTCGTCTATATGTATATTACTTGAAGTCCAGTTTTGATGTAGGTTCTTTTATGTTACTTGTAAAAATGTATAACGTATAATCGTTTTTTTCTTTTCTTTTTTCTTTTTAATTACACCAGGTATTATATAAGTAAATTTGAAATTAGAGTGCATATGTATTTCCTCATGTTTCCTATAAATATTTTTCGTATCATTCAATCTAAGAGAAAATATTGTTCGAAAACGTGTACATACAGTAAATTTGATTAAAGATATTCGATTAATGTTTTATTCGTTCACACAATAAAGTGGCACAAATATACGATCGAAGAATAACAGATATAACTTTGTATATATCGTTATATGTAGCTTTCATTCAGTCTTAAATTAGCAAAATTACAATTACCTGGTTTTTTTGCTTTCCTTCACACTTGAACATATACTTATTTATATTTAAGCATCGATATCATGTCGAGCATCTATTTCATAATAAAAAAAATAATTTTTTACAGGCTTCCTCCCAATATTCATATCAGCATTTCGATGACAAACCATTTTTATTGGTCAAGTGTGAAGTAATTTTTAAAAAGTTGTTCATAATAAATTATTGTCAAACATACTTCCGCGTTAACTGATAATGCGCACGTAAGCATAGGAACCACAAGAGAGTCAATCATAACATAGGGACGACTTCGTTTCAATAATTTGCACTCTTTTTTTGATATGGATAATATTCAATGTCTACATTCACGCACGCACACACACACGCACACACACACACGACGTGATACATCTTCAATTGAAAATTATTATTACATAGGGTCCTTTCACGGGATAGACGGACACATTAATTTACATCATTTAAACATTCAAAATGAATAATGAGGTACATTTGGATTTTGTTGTGTCATCAAAGGACAACGATAAAATTTTGTCAATATTTTAACATTTGTAAGAAATGATGAACCTTTGAACCTCATCGTTTAATTTAGGCCATTTAAAACGTTATAAGCTCGTTTTCGAAGCCTTTTCAGGTACCACACATTAATTGTCATCGTTTCTATTGCGACAAGATATTGACACGTTATGAAATTTGTATTTTCCTCCTTCCTATTAATTCCAGCTCCGACGATAATACAAGATTGATGCTCGAATAATAGATTAGAATAGCCCATAGAGCTTTAATCATTTTTTAGACAAAGTGCTACCAACACCAATGACGATGACTGATCGTTTTTCATCGTTTTATTTTGCAAAATGTGGGCTAAACTTCACCGTAAAAATTCGAACGAGTAAGAAACGACTCCGCAATAAAAGAAATCTCAAGCGTCTCCAGACTTATAAACGTCTTAAAAATCGCAGATCATTCTCACTAAATCCCTCCAACCTAATTTACTGCACAAATTCAACGGCGAGTGATCTTCCCTCGAACGAAAAAAAAAACAAAAAAACAAAAAGAAGAAAATCTCGTTTCGATCGAGGACGAAACTCAAGAAAGCTATTATTCTCTCGACCAAAAATCCTTAAGTAAGATTTTTACCATCCTGTAATACGAATTTTACTTCGTTCTGTAGATAACGGAACTTATTTATCCTGGTTCTGATCCACTCCGCCAGGAGTAACCAGAGAACCTTTCCTCGTTCCCTGAAAAATCGTCGTGCCGATCCGTCCGTGTTAACCAAGATCGATACAGCGTGACGGTGTTCGCATATTGGCTGCACGCTCGACAACAACGATTCCCACGGCGTGTCGTGCCGGCTATCGTGAACCGCGACCCTCCGCTAAAAATTTTTTTTACCAAGACACATTTTATCGGACGAACTAATACGATCTTTGATATCTTTTCTTTGTAATTTAAGAAAAGAAGATCGATACCTTGGGTCGTGCAGAAATGCATCACACCTTCCACAAAAGAAGATGATTCGTTGAATCCTCGCGACCTGCCTGTAATTCTGCAGACGCTTGGGGCCCTCTGAAATCCTCGTAACCATCGCCACCGGATATCACCAAGAGCTTACCGCGATTGATATTATTCTGATGCACTTTCTTCGATTTCAACGAGTATCGATTCACCTTTGGTCGTGGTTCTGGTTTTGATGATGTACTGGTTTCCACGCATGTTAGAAACCGCACGTGTCCCGTATGTCCGTGAGGTATTCCTTTGAGAAGAGAAAAAAAACTTTCGTTAAAATCTCAATTACCAAAGAAAAGAGAAAGAAAGATCCGTTAGCTCGATACCAACCAGTTACGACGGGAGGTTGAGATATTCTTTGCGTGGATGGCTTGATGTGAGGTATTGGTACGGTTAAAAGTACACCAGCACTTGTACCGATCCATAATAATTCATTGCAAGCCAATAAAGCGGTTACTCTGAGACAGGCTGCTTTATGTTGTCTTATTATGTCATCGCAACCTGCAGCAAGTTTAATGTTTTCGTTAAAATAAATATCGTTGGAAATACAATAAGGGTTCGTTAAACGAGAAATTTATATAACAATTTCGTTCAAGATTTAAAACTTACTAGCAAGCATCTTGGTAACGGCCGGAGCGATATTTATATCTGTCAAGCATTCATAACTACCAGCATGGAAAAGACGAAGTACGGCACTGTTGTGCAAAGAAATCCAAACACCAAAACCACCAGAGTTTGCCATACAAGTGACCGCTCGACTTGTGTCACTGCTGACCACGAAGCTGTGCTCGATGTCCAAGGTACGCGTGTTGAGAACTTTCACGGAGTTATGGCAACCGCACCACAGTTTGCCAGATACCGGAAGCATCTTCGTTACTGGAGATGCTGCGGTACCTACGGACACTATCGTTGGATCTGGAGTATTCCAACCTCCTACTGAATCCAAAGAAAATAATATTTTTAAATCTTTATATATTCGATCATCGTAAAGATAAAATCGTAATGATAAGACGAACATACTATGATCTCGTGTATATACAGCTATATCACCATTGGCAAGTGACACGAATACTTTATTGTCCAAGTATCTATAATCAAGAAGGGTATAGAGTTAATAATAGCACAACACGCGTCATTACCAGACACATTTTCCCTTCTTGAAGATCGACTTACATGATACAGTGCACGCTACTACCATGTTGAATCTTCACCTTGTTCTTTTTTATTCTAATATTGTCGTTACAATTATAAACGTGAATGCAACCATCTTCCGTCCCTAACCACATGGTAGGTTGATTGGCATCCTCTTCAATGGCAATAGCGTTATCGATATTAGAGACATCACCGCTCAAGGTCACGCTACAAGTATCCGCATTTGGAATGTCGTCCGAGTCCGACTCGTCGGAGCTCGAGCTGCTACACAAAAATAGGCGTAGTAACGCGAACCTAATTTAACTCTTATCGTAGAAATATATATTATTACCTGTCTAATTGAATATTACCACTACCGGAGTCGACATCTTGCACGGAAATACTGATGCCGCTTTTACTGTTCACAAACGTATTACTGTTGGATGCCAAAGAGTTCGAACTAATATAAAAAATAATTGACGAATGAATATTAGAGATTTTAACATGCTTAAAAAAAAGAAAACAATACATGAGACACGAACCCAGGAGTACAAGCAGGTATCCCAGCAACGCAAAGGATTCTAGCATTGCAAACTCCATTACAAGATGTAACTTGGGGTGGTTCCGGGTTCAAACTCAGTACGCAAACCTGACCAACGTATCCGTCGCTGTTGCAAACCCACACATCACGAGATTCTTGTCCATTTGATAAGGTAGGTGCAGCGCAAGTAAATTGAAGACCAGCTCGTGTCTTTCTAATGGGTAAAGGACCGACGAATTCTGGACATAGTCTTCGATCGGCAGACAATGCTGAAATTTATCCGTCGAAGTTAAGAAGAGTGAAGTTCCTTCTTCCTTCTTTTTTATTCGAGAAGATAGTTTTTCACTTACCCAACTTTTGTTTGGCTTCGTTGAAACTCTCTTCCCAGCTCGCTCTCTTATCGGGCTTTGTAAAGACAACGGAGATATTCTCGATACCCGATCTGAAAAAGTATACTAGGTAACTAACTATAAAAAAAAGCATGAGGTTATTCAAGAAAGTATTGAAAATCGATTTACTGCGTGTTTAGAGTTAATTCCAGACAAGCTAACTGAGAATGAGCAGCGTTTCTTTCGGCTAACTGCCGTTGCGCTTGACACAGCATATCCTTGATCAGATCCTCGAGTTGTGCCTTACTTCCATGTATCGTAGCTGCGAGTTCTTGAAGTTGACTCAATGTGGCACAATCCTCTCGTAGGTGATCAACCTCGCGTGCCATTCGTCTGAGATTCTCGTCCTTGGCTGAGAAGGAAAGATCGATGGAGAGAGACCAGCTGACGATATATTCGTCGTTCTAACGAATGTCATTGATCTAACGTAAGTTATAAACTTTTCTATCTACATTGACACGATACCTTTCATCACTTCGAGATCATCCAATGGTATTCTCATCAACATTTTGTACTTGTTAGCTTCAAGAAGACTGACCAAGCTGTTCGGGCAAGAGCTCCTACGATCGATCGATCAATAAATAGATCAATTAATCATTATGTCGTACGTTATTAGATAAGAAGAAAACGCATTAAAGGAACGCGTTACTATGTACTTACGTAGATGGTTTCCTTATCGTACCACTTCGTCGTTTGATACTGGTAATAACCAATAGGTCGGAGAACAAAAAGAGAGCTCGTTCCTTCCGTGTGCCTTGGTTCGATGCTATGGTAACCAAATCGTGACGAACGAATGCTCTGGACGCAAAAAACGAATGTGTCGTTATAATGAACTTTTTTTATTCCGCAAGCATAGCCCAGTGAATATCGAAAATCGATGGGCTCATTCATTGGGAAAAGCGGGACGATGAAATAAAAAAGAAAATATATATAAAGGACTTGCAAACGATAGAGAATGATTAGTTACATGATTGGTTACATAAATAAGGTGAAAAATGTCTACCTAAAGATAATTATGATGAAATAACTATCAAACCAACCTATCATTCGTAACGATCCCAGCAAGACCTTCGACGAGGGCTTGAACCTCTCTTAAAGTACTTTGTTGCTGTTCCCATTCAAGAGACTCACGCTCCGTGCAATTGATCTTCACAACCAATTCATGCACTTCCTTTTGTGCTGTCTGCAGGAACTCATAATCGGGATGCGTCGAATCAGTGTGTTTGAGAAGTCTCTGAATGAGAAGCTCGTAACGCGGAATCTTCTGCACCGGTTTAATCAGCAGTTGATCAAGACCAAGCTTGCCTTTGTGTTCACGTTCCATCGTCTATGAAACAAAAAATAAATAATAAGGATAACCGCGTATGTAGATAGATAAATACATATGGTTTCCGTGTATGTAGAACGATGATACGCGATTAAACTACCTCGAGAAATCGTGCGAATGCTGGTTTCCCTTGACACGTTGTTTTTATCGCCTTCTTCGCGGACTTCCAATTGTCCAAGAAGAGAGTGTAAGTCTCTAGAACTACTGGCTTTGTAAACTAAACATATCCAAGAGAAAATTGTATCTTTAATTTCTCACTTAGTTGTTTTAAAACTTTCTTATATTAATTTGCGATATAATACTCACTACATCCAAGAAAACGTCGCCTATAGTCTGCTTTACTTCCCAAGTGTCGAGACGTTTTCGTAACTCTTCGAGAAAAATTTCATGATGGCTAAGAATCGCTGGGACCTATAAAAGTATTTGAGAGAAAGAAAGGGAGCAAAAAAAATAGAGAGAAAGAGAGAGAGAGAGAACTAATTTTTAATAATCTACCTATAAAAATCTATATAATTATATAATTATTTCTTGCTATTATATCGTCCTTATATATTCTTCGTAAACTAATTTAAACAAGAACACGCATAAGTACTTACCTGATAAAATATCTCATCCACCGTAGCGGCGTCCACCAAGCCGGCATTCTCGGGACTTTTCAAAGGCTGCAGATATTTCTGGAACAAAAATCGAATTTCGTTTCGCAATATTCTCCCTTATGGTGTAACAATGTAGAGCAAAAGAGTATATAATGTAGTATGCGTGTGTATATACATATGCATGAATCAACGTCGATGATCTTATTTTCCGACAAATGCAAAATCTTGATTCGTTCCACGAATATATTAAACACTGATTTATACGGAGAAAGGAAAGTTTTTGCTCGACTTTGCAATTCAATGGGAGTTATATATTCCGCAGAGAAAATCAATTGCTCCGGGGTTAATGAAGTGCGAGGAATGCGGTGGACATCTTTTTTCGCTTTTTTCTTCCTTTTCGTGTATAACGACGAGAAAAGCGATGCTTTAAATCGTTCTTCTCGTGGATTGATAAGTCTCCGAGGTTCACATCGATCGAATGAATAATAAAGGAACTGAATATATCGTAGTATTCGTAGTAGTAGTAATAGTAAAAGTGGTAGTAAGAGTAGAAAGAGAACAGCGATGACGTGATAAACAAATTTTTGGCATGCCATTGAAACGCAAAGAGGGAACGAAAATAAGAAAAGAACGAAGAAAATAGGGAGGGGAAGAAAAGAGGGAGGAAGGAAGGAAAAGAATGGATAATAGACAAAAAACAAAAAGAATGAAAGAGAATTTCTTTGGATCTACATTAGGCATGATCTACTAGCATCTAATGGCACATCAAATTTTATTTTCAATTTGATATATCATACAAGAAAACGATAAATATTATCTGACGCATTTGTTAAATTATCGTACAAAGAATGTTAAATACGCATTTTTAATATTTTTTTTTAGCGCGTAACGATATGTAAAAGCTAAAAAAAAAAGAAAACAAAAACGAAATAAAAAGAAAAAAACATAACAACAAAAAGAAGAAAAGAAAGAAAATAATTTGAAGCATACGATAAAATATCGAGAAAAAAAATATTATAAAAATATAGAAGTTTCGTTAGGTGTATGATACGGTGCACATTCGCAACCTTTATCTTTGACCTTTAACGTTTAAAAAACAGCTTCGAATGGCACGAACGTCCTCGAAAAAGGGACGAAGGGGATTGCGAGTAGATAGATAAATAGATACAGATAAAAAGAGAGATAAATAGATAGATAGATAGATAGGGAGAGAGAGAAAAAGAGAGAGGGACATATCGTCGAGTTTATTTTTTCGACTTTCGATCTATCTTGCTTTTTTTCTTTTTTTTTATTTTATCGTATTTTTTCGTTATTGCCTCGAGAATCCAAGCGACGACATGAAAAATCGTAGCCTCTATACGTAGTCTGGCCAAGGCCATTGTCGAAATAATAGATCCTCCGAAATAACGATTCTCTCGATGCGTGTGGGTAGCTGGGAGTTGTTTGGAAAATATGACAATCAAACTCGCACGACTTTGGTCGGTGTGGCGCAAAGCTTAGGACGATTCTTGTGAGATGTAGCAACGAATGTTAAAAAATCTTTTCGCGCGATATAAACTATGACGAAATCGATGAAATCGATGATCCGTAAAAAATTTTTCTATGGTTAATAGAGATCTATTTTGGTTGGTCGTTATTTCAAAGGAATGAAAAAGAAATAAAGAAAAATAAAAAAAAATAGAAAAAAAAGAAAGGAAAGACAAGATGAAAATGTCTGACATTCTTTCCATATTCCTTGTTATTTTCAATATACATATCTCTGTGAACGAATAACATGCATGATATACAGAAATGTAACGGATGTAATAGACCAAATTCATTCGATATTATAATATACAGATAATAAGAGAGTTAATGTTCCTTGAATCGTATACCATATTAATCAATACGGGTTCGATTATAAAAGAAATGTATATATTACCAAATCTTACGATACGATTTAATACATATTTCGATAAAATATACATTCGATCTCGTTAAATCGCATTTAAAATTACTTACATTGACTAGTATTTGCAAAGCTTCCACGTACGAACGTTCGGTATCGTAAAGCTCAACGACGACATGAGTTCTCGTATCCTGAAACATAACAAGAAGAAGAAAAGGTGATGATTTATCGAAAATATCGATCATTTTTGCGATTTTCATGAACATTTAATTCAATTAATTCATCACATATTTTCTTTCGTTAGAGACGTCGTCGATTTTAGAGATTCTCCACGAAGAAAAATAATCTGACGACATTTATCATCGTCTTTGTTGCTTTGTCATCTCGACAGAATGTGACCTCGTGCAAGAGGAGGTTACACGTGCGTATTGTATATATGAAGCACGCGCACGTGCTGTACTACACCACGTGTCGGTCAACGAATATATGCATTATCACGGAGAATCATTTCCCGACCTAGAGTAATTATCTAAGTGTTCGTTTGCCTGCCTATTCGTTTGTTTACGATAAATGATATTAGGAGATCTTTTCGAAAGATAAAAAGTTATAATTAACGAACGTGAGAAAGAGAGAGAGAGAGAGAGAGAGACAGAGAGAGAGAGAAAGAGAGAGAGAGAGAGAGAGACAGAGAGAGAGAGAAAGAAAAAGAGAGAGAGAGAGAGAGAGAGATTAAAGTCGACATTCCGTTTGGTATTATTATTTCATTTTTACTGATTCAGATAAAATATTGATAAAATCTATCCTATAAAGCGCACTTTGAAATAGATAACAATCCTAATCAAAGGAAATAAAAGTAACTTAGAGATGAAATGAAAAGTTTCATCTTGATTTTTCCATTCAGGAGAAGCAATAAGATATTTAATTGTTGACGCTTATGTTAACATCGTATATTAATCGATTATCGACAGGAAGGAATTTAGAAAGCACCTACGCATTCTCTCGTGACATGACCGTTATTCCTGTTGTCCACGGATAGCCGACACTCGATGGGCCTCACGCTGGCGTTGATCGCCATCCTCTTCCTCTATCTTTCTTGAATTTCTACGACCATTAATGATGAACACTCGCATCTCATTCTACTTGATATTCTCCACTCGATAAATTTGAATTTACACGGGTTCATGATGGCTTACGCATGAGATTAAGATCATGGAATACACTTCCAAGCTAATGGAATGTATATTTTTATAAAAAAACGAACACACATAACGAGAGTTTATATGATATAACATTGTATTCAAAAAAATAATTAAATATCATTGAAACATCTAACTTCCTTATTTTCAATGCTTCTTACAAATCACAATACCCCTTTATTCGCAACCTCCCAAAGAAAATTGATTTTTCCTTTCTGACATTCACAAGAAGATCCCCACTTTTTCTTCTACTTTATCCTCAATAGAACCATACGTCAAAACTTATCGAGATAAACGAAATGAGATCGTCACGTGTTTTACGCGTAGGTAGGTACGCGTAGGCGACCCTGACCACCATCCGTGATAATGACGAAGTATCCTTCGAAAGAGTTGTTAAAGAAGGACGATGAAAACGATCAGCTCGATTTCTGTTTGATTTTCTTCAGTAATCACATAAAATGAACTCTTCTAGATTTATCTACTCTATCGTTACAACATCCCAAAGGAGCTATGAATTAAATTTTTATTTGAGAAGTAACATTTGCAGTTAGTGTTTCCCGCGAACGTAGAGAAAACAACAACGAGGCAAGAATGTTATCGAAACTAAACGGGCGTTCAGCCGGATGGCCAAGAACAGGCTGATCGATGCGCCGAATAGAAGCGCCATGGTGCCGATGGTGGTGGCTGCTGTTGTCTCTGGTGGACGCCGGCGCGTAAGCTTTTCACGTGGATCATACACGAATCCTGACTATATACTCCTTCTCCTTCTCTTCCTCCACCTCATCCTCATCCTCAGCTATCACTTCGTCCTTTTACGTTATACCTTCATTTGCTACTCTTCATTTGCTTACGGCCTTGTCCTCATTATCCTATTTGTTTCTCTTTCTCTCTCTCTCTCTCTCTTTGCCTCTTTGTTTCTGACATTCTCTCTCTCTCTCTCTCTCTCTTCTCTCTCTCTCTCTCTCTCTCTCTCTCTCTCTCTCTCTCTCTCTCTCTCTGTCACACTCTCACTCTAATTATTCACTCTTTTATATCTGATCATGCAAAGAAAAATATTTAAAGTCTAGAAAATTATCGAAATTAAATAATTATTCCCATGGCCATTGCTAATACAAGTGTCACGTGAAATTCTATTCGTCGAAGTAATTGTATTACGAGGAAAATAGTATTAGTGATATATTCACTTTCATTCTCACTCTATCTCTATCTTTCTATTTTTCATCTGTTAACAAATAAATAAACGGGATCATTTAATGTATATATTGGAGTACTTGAATTTTTATTAACACTTGATGAATTCGTCGATAGAAAGTATTGAAATTTTCCGACCGTAAACATTTTCGCGTCATCGGGTGTGTTCTAAATTTGTTGAAACATGCGTAAACGTTCGTACGAATCCCTTTGGTGGGCGATACCGGAAACTGACACCTGCGTCGGACCAAGCAACCACGACCTTGTCTCTCTTCTGGGGGGATGGACACAAGCAAAAGTTCTCATTTGCATCATGGAACGCACAGACGATCTCGTTAATAGGTTTCCTTTGACCATGCAATAGCTTTGAACATGACGCAAAAGATTCTTTGAAACGTGAGATTAAACGTACGGGAAACGCACTATGTATACGTATATATGTAATTATGTATGTATATGTGTCTTTGTTACACCTAAATGCTAAATAATTCCTATAAACACGAATATATTCCAAATTGGAACGCCTTCTATCTTTCTTTATTTTTCTTTTTATTTATTTTCTTATTTTATTTCTTTTCTTTCTTTACTCATATCATTTAAATTTTTCAATCACTTTAATCGTCTTGTGAAACACGAATCGCTCACCGTGAATTATTCGGTCAAAGCACATTTTTCCAACGACTCTTGCTCCATATTTATTTCGACGACGACACTTGTTTAGTCTACGGCAAAGACCCCCGGAATACGCATTTCTCGTGGGTAAAGCGAAAATTCGACTATACTCGTTCTTATGTATAACCGTAATATTTTTCGAAATTTAATATAGTAATCGAGAAAATTCCTCAAGGATCGACCGTTTTACATCACGAATTACAAGCAAAATATAAAGACGAAAACGAACATAAGAATTTAATATTCAGGTCCATAACTCGTATCATCGTTACGAAAATACGAATGGATTCGGAGGAGATAGAAGAGGAGAAGAAGAAGAAGAAGGAGGAAAAGGAAGAGGAGGAAAAATAGGAGGAATATCTCGTCTTTTCCATCAACGAACGATAAACTATTTTCTTCATCCGAAAGTACCTCTCTCTAGTTCCTCGTGTTTACGACTGACGTCATGATGTTTCTCCTCACGAGCTTGCTTCATTCATGAAATCTACGTGAACGCACGCACATACGATGCCGGATGTAGCTGGAGTTTTGACCTTTAGAAGCACGATGCAGTCTTCCGCGAAACGAACGAACGAGTCTATGACTCACACAGTACATATGTATTTCACTCTTCTCCTTCGATTCAGATGAAGAACACCGAGGGGTTTCCGAAATATACGAGAACGAAAACTTGTCAGGAAAAAGAATTTGGCTGACTTACATTTCGATGAGCAGGTGCACGAGCTACTCTCTCCGAAGATCCTCTCAAAAGTTCAGCGAGTAATTCCGGACTTGGTCCAGGTAATCCTTCTAATTTACTTGGGCTAGAGGTAGTCCTATGATGACAAGGTGTAGGTGGTTCGGAGCTACTATTAGCGCCGGTATTGTAAGAAAGATTAGCGGAGATTTTGCGTCTAGGTCTGAGACCTTCTTCCAGAGATATATCCGTTGCACGAGGTTTCGCCATTTCAGCTTCAAGCATTTGACCGTAAGGACCACGAAGTGGTCTCTTGCTGTACCTTAGAAAAAAGATATTAACATGTAATATATAGAAACAATTTCTCATCAATTTGAATCTGTTCATGGCATGCTTTAAATGTGGTAAAAAAGGACAGTGAAAAATGTTTTCAATTTCTTACCTTCGTGGAGCGTGACCTTCGCAATCGGACAAATCGCTTGGTGTCGCAGGTGGATCATCTCTTTCCTCGCTGCTCTGAGCAGTAAGTTTGTTTCTATCAGCGTCCAAAGGTTCTGGCCATTGCGTTATGTACACACCCTTTCTTCTCTTGCTAGTATCACCACGATAACGTCTGGTCTTACCAGAAGGAGAGGATGCTTCCGAAGGTGTCTCGCTAGGTGCCTCGCTGCCCTCGCTAGCTTGACTGAGTCTTGGTTCCTCCAACGGTGGAGTCACGATTACCTCGTGTGGCTCTATTCTGCTCTCTATTAAATAAATTCTTCTGAATGTCTAAGTTAGTCGCAGAACGCATTCAAATCATAGCGAGAAACGGAAAAGAAGTTAACGTAGGTATACATTAAACGAACAAGTATCATTTCCCGCAAGTTGCTCAAACGGAAGAGCGCACGTTGAAGTTGGACTACCATGAGCGGTGGTAAAACCATCACTAGTCTCGGCTATGGTCATTGTTTATTGTGAATAGCAATCTGCAGACGCGAATGAACGAACGCGCGTGAAGTCATCAATGAAGATGGCTATAACTCGATGACGCTCGAATTTCTATTTCGATTCTGGCACCCGCAGTTCTGAAAATAGTGCTACATAAAATAACGACGCCGGTAAGAATTCGCTTGCACCTTTCTATCGAACGACTCCTTGAAAATATTTAGACGTCTCAGCCTTCCATGATATCTCTATCTCAATAAACTCATATTCTTAATCGTTAAACTTCTTACGTCCAATCATCGTTACATCATATATTTCATCGTTAGATATTTCAAGATGTAAAAAATTTAACCTTTTTGAACGATCTCATCGATCGGAGTGCTATCGACGACTTGATAAATCGGTTCTGAAGGTATCACCTCGGTCGGTGAAGCATCCGTTTCCAACCTCGGCTGTTGCTCATGATTTTCCGGTACCGGTGGTTCCGGGCTGGTAAGAGCACTGGATGTTGCCAAACTGTCGGAACCATCACTTCTAGGTCGGATTTCTTCGAGATTGCTTTGGTGAGGTACACCGAGTCCTTCGGCCGAACCAACGGCACTATCGACGCTCGGCGTCGACGTCCTTGGACTTTGCCGATTCGGGCTGTTTTGAGACGTTGAGACGCCTGGTATCGCATCTCCTCGTCGACGAGGCAAAGTACTGGCACGGACATCTTTGTTTTCCGTGCGAGCACTCGTTGCCACCGGCTGAGTCTTTTGACGATTCCCTGTAATGATTAATGAAACATGTTCTTCCCTTTCCCTTTTCGATTAAATCAATTCCTTTCTAGACGATCACAGAAGTTCTTAAGAACTTTCGTAAATGTTGGAATCGGTTTAACTCTATCTGCCACCGAGACGATTCTAATAGATTTCGCAACGACGTGTTGACCAACATTAATCATTGTACATTGACGTACTCCAGAAACAAATTACGCGCGAACGTTTTTAATAATAACTCGAGTGCTCGTACATCGACGTCTTTCGGCCGGTTAAGATCGTGTAATAGAGAAAGAGAGAAGAGAGAGAGAGCGGAGAGAAAGAGAGAGAAGTCCTAATTATCTCCTCGAGTGTCACGTAAGCTTGGCAGAGCAGCAGGACGAGGAGGCGGTCCGTTCCAATAATAACGAACGTAGAGAGGAGTGAGAACGAAAGCACGATGGAGAATAGAAACATTCGGTTAATCTTTTAGTCGTTTAATGGAGGAGTAGAAGAAGGCCGAAAAGAAGGTGTTATAGAGAGGGAGAGGGGGAGAGAGAAAGAAAAAGAGAGAGAGAGAAAGAGAAAGAGAGAGAGTGAGAGAGTGAGAATCCAAATATGAATGTGCGAGGAAATCGTAAAGATAATGTTTCAGGAGATACCCAGTTTCGTTCATCAGTCACCTTTCGAACATGTAAGGTGTCTATGTTCCTCCTTCCCTCTTTTTCTCTCTTATTCTCTCATACTATTAAATACGACGTTTCGGTCTTATGACACATCAACATGACGAAAAACGAAGTTCGACCTTGTTACTCTTTGCTAAATCGTCTCTCTTTCTTTTCACTAATAAACGGAAGATACAACGCCGCATTCATTTTCGGAGAAAAGAACTTATCCGTGTGATGACAAAATTGCGATATATGAGATATTACATAATTTCGTATAAATATTTTTGATTCTCTTTCGTAGAACTATTGCTGATTGATAAATAGGAATATTGTATAAGTATTTTCTGTAATGTTTAGGTACGTTCTCGCTCATTCTTTCTTTCTTTCTCTCTCTCTCTCTCTCTCCCTCTTTCTCTTTCTCTCTCTCTCTCTCCCTCTCTCTCTCTCTCTTTCTCTCTCTCTTTCTCTCTCTTTCTCTCTTTCTCTCTTTCTCTCTGCGTACGTATCGCATCTCGAAATGTTTCCTATTTACAGTCTCGACTATATTATGAAAGTCAAAGCACGTTGGTATGTAGTTCAGGGTTGAAACGTAATACTCCGGATTCGGCCAGCGTCGTTATTTGGCTTCCGGATTCATTAACGAAGGATTACGAAGGCTACCGAAAATAAATCTGATGTGTCACACAATACGAATGAACTTACGACGGATTTTCCTTTCTCTCTCGTATCCTATTCCTTTTTTTCCATTTTATAAAATTACCTTGATTGAAATCCACCTGACCGAAGGACGCACTTCTGAGTGGAGCACCAGCTCTTTGAAGAGTTAACAATGGTCCCCGAGACTCCAACCTGCTGACCGCATCCCTGGCTTCGGCCTCATTATTGTTGTTGCCACCAGTACCAGCAGAAGACACGTTCAAGGTATCGCACAGATCGTCCACGCTCGTAGCACTATCTACCACTGAATCACTGTATTGTCTCAAGTGTTGTTTTGTTGTCGGCGCGTCCTCGACGGAGACACCGATGACGAGATTCGCGTCATTTTTAACGTCACCAACGTCACCACTATTCCTCTCCGTCACCTTGCCCGACTTCGAGGACTTTTTCGAAGTGTCATGAGCGAGCTGTTGTTTTCGACAGCTCTCGTTACCGGTGACCATCGAATCTGTACCAGTGAGACGTTCCTCGCCAACGCTTTCACTTCTAACAATACTCCTTGGATGCTGTTGTTGATTTTGAAGCCCGGTTTCATGATTTCTATAGATCCCACGATTATCATATCGACCGCAACTTTGAGCCGACTGTAAATGTTCCAATTTAAAAATACATCACATATTTTCCAGCGATCATATTAAGAAATATTACGTTCGTTAGAAGATGTTTTACCTGTTGATGAGATTGGAAAGATGGCTGACATCCTCCTGGTGGAGGAGAGGAAGCTTGAGTACGGGAAGGTCGTCTAGGAGGTGGGACAGGTGCTGGTCCCTTAAGTTTTTCCGTAAGTTCGCGAAGACGCTCGGCCTTTTCGCTGCGGGGGGCGGAAGAGGATTTTTTTCCGCTTCCTCCTCCACCCCCGCTCCAGCGGAATCTGTGCAATCGGTCCACCGCTATCACCGCTGGTTCCTATATAACGAGGTAAAGAGAAATAAAGAAAAGAAAACGTATTTACGAGAATTATCACGAGATTTAACGCAAGCGCAAACAAAGTTCAACAGCGATGTTAAAAAAAGAAACGGTAACAGCATAGATTCTTCTGTGGGTACGACTACTTTAGAAAGAACTTGTCTAACCGACGACAAGTTACATCTGGATCGTTTCGAAAGGAGAAGAAGATGATGATGAAGAAGAAGAAGAGAAAAGAGTTATAGTTTCCTTCTCGCCAGGAAAATCGTACCGCGAAGAAAACGGACTCTGCCAGAATCTACGTTCGATCCATTGCTTCTTTCCACCATTTTGTTTTTTTTTTCTCTCTCTCTCTCTCTCTCTCGTTTTCTCTCTCTCTCCCTCTTTCTCTTTCCATCAAATCCTGCACTCGCGCGGCCCGTGGGCAAATACAACGCAGCCTCGTGCGCCCGCTGCGAAGAGAAAAGACGGACGCCGACGAAAATAGAATATCGTTCTTCGACTAGGCATCTACCTACCAGCTCTTAAGCGTTTTCACTAAGCCCTAGGGCTTCGGACACTTTACTAATATTCCCTTTTAACTTTGGGAAGTTTGAGCGAATCGATCGTTAAAAGAAAGAGAGAGAGAAAGAGAGAGAGAAAGAGAGAGAGAGAGAAAAGAGAGAGAGAGAGAGAGAGAGAGAGAGAGAGAGAGAGAGAGAGAGAGTAAGAACGAGAAAAAGAAGCGAGAAGTTGTAAGAAACGCGATACGAGCGCAGTAGCGATCTCTTAATCGTGCGTATCGTCGACCAAGAGAGCAAGAGATAAATATACCTGTCAAGGTTACGTGTACTCGCGTCGGAATCGTACGATCCTCGACACCGTTCTAACGAAACCTACCTCGAGGCTTCTGACGCGATATTTTCCTACCCGGAAGCACTCCACCTTTGTTTCGTTGAGACCCGTTATCACAAGGCCGGTCGTTTCTTATCGTTAAATAGCTTGAATATTTCTCGAAAGTATATTGTCGCGTTATGCGAAGTAAGGGGAGTAATAGGTAAGGCTAAGGACACGGGATACGAGGAGACACGAGTTGTACCTGGAGCTTGAGGGTCTGATGCTTGGTCCACTGTGCGAGTTGACGCGGCACGGAAACCGAATGTTGCGTTTGGAGGCTCGGCGAAGAGGAGGAGTCGAACGACGGGTGCAACGACGAAGATGTCGAGGAGGAAGAAGAAGAAGAAGAAGAAGTAGAGACGGAAGATACCGGCTGCAACGGCGATGGGATCGCGGATGATTGTGGCTGGTGGTGTTGATTGTGCTGCTGCTGGTGCTGGTGCTGCTGTTGGCGGTGGTGCTGCTCGTTCCCCACCGTGGTGCTTTGCAGCATCCCGCGGTTATTATTAGAGTTTGGCGTCGGCCGAGCAGCCGCCAGCTTCGCATCCACCGGCTGTTCCACGCCAGCAGTAGTAGCACGACTCTTCGAAAACGTGGGAGGAAGAGACGAAGACGACGAAGATGATGGCTGTGCTTGTGCCGCCGCTACTACTACCGTTGCTGGTGAAGGTGGTAGAGGTGGTGGAGGAGGCGGCAAAACTCCGTCAACGTCTCTTTCTCCTCCATTTCCACCTCCACCTCCGACTCCTACAATGCTGCCAACCGTCGATGCCATTGCTACCGATGAAGACGACGACGACGGCGGCAGCGACGTCGCTGCCGCCGTCACCGTAGTCGTCGTCGTTGGGATCCTCGGCAGAGGCAACCGAGAACGTGGACCGATGCAACAACACTCGACTATACTCGACGCCAGATCGATCGACGACTTTTCCGCCAATTTCTCCGTCAGCCGTTCTCTCGACTCGCTTTCTCGCGAATTTCTCTTCCGTCTTCTCTCCGCTGATTCCTCCCTCGAGCTCGCGGGTGGTAGACTTTCCTAAAACCCAAAAGAACGTACAATCTTCTCTTATATTCTGTACTCTTTTTTTTCCTTTTCTTTGTTTTCTATTCTCGAAGGCATCTTATCCTTATCGATATCATATATAGAGTATCATAGAAAAATATTATTCGCAGTAAAAGAATAAGATATACTATTAAACAATGGCGTCGTTACGACGTCAGTAAGTCGACGCCATTTCTTCCCACGAATGTATTCGTGATATACTACTCCGAAATGGATCCTCTCTTACGTTAGTGTTCTATGCGCTCAGCGTTCTTCGGTATCTCTCGCGGTTTGTTAGAAAAACACGCTTGCTATTCGTTTTTCTATAATTAAAGTTATAAAGAATAAAGAGAAGGAACGAAGAAACGAGCACGGTAAAACGATTTATGAGCTATAAATCTTTCGCAATGACGAGTCTCTCTCTCTCTCTCTCTCTCTCTCTCTCTCTTTCTCTTTTTTTTCTTTTTTAAACAAATCGATGAAATTCTTTTAATCGCCGACGAACGACAAAAACGTCAACTACTTGGCAGTCGATCTTCCACGAACGAAGAATTCCAACAAAAATTGTCAGCTAGCTCTTCCGACGTGTTCGGCTATGTCGTCTCATGCCCGATGATTTGTCAGGATCGAAGGACTTGGCAGAGAAACTTGTCGCGTGCACGCGGCGAGAGATTCGCGTCGACGTTATACCTATGACGTCAAGTGGATATTATTCCGGATGAACGTGAATAGGAAACGGTGCAAGTAGAATGACAGAAAGAGGATAGAAAGAGAGAGAGACAGAGAGAGACAGAGAGAGAGAGAGAGAGAGAGAGAGAGAGAGAAAGAGAGAGAGAAAGATAGAGGGAAAGATAGAGAGAGACACAGACAGACAGAGAGAGAAAGAGAGAGAAGAAAGGAGAGGCGGTTCAAGATCGAGTCACTGACTGGTCGGATTCTATTTACGCGATCGATTCTAAGTTTAGGATCTTTGGCGTGTTCGTTTTCTTCGTTGCCGAACGAATCCTTTGCCGTGGTCACTTAGCGAAGGTCATTGCGACCGAGCAGAAGGTTATTATGATGATTTGTATGGAGGTAACGGAAAGAAAAGAGTAAAAAAGAAAAAGGAAAATAACGAAGAAGAAAAAGAGAGCGAATCGTTTTCCGATCTAAATTTGATTTTTATCGAACAAATTCTACACCTAATGCCTTATGTAATAGTTCGTGAGTAGATATTCTGCTCTTTGAAACATTTAATTGATATCATGAGAATACAAACAATGATACATATTTTATGACTACAACAAAGTCGAATAATGTTTCAAGACTATTTTTGTTTATTTTAGAAAAATCTTATCTCCCACGTTTTTTTTCTTTCTTTTTTTTTAACGACAACATCGTAACTGTATTCAGTCGAAAAGTAACATAATAAAACTATCATCGTATGTATTCGTAAAATTATTCTCTTCCTTCGAACATAAAAACGAGAGTTACGATTACAACTTTCATGATTGGATCGTATCTATACATCAATAATACCAACAATCTTAGTCAGGTTTATTTATATTTTCTATTTACGTATTATAACGATCATTATGATGTATATATACCTGTGAGAGTCTCAGACCATATCTGGTGCCACCCAGTACGACGTATCCACCAGCGACGCCTCCTCCGGTCACAGCTCTCGCAGCTCCTCCCAACCATCCTCCAAAGCCACTGGCTCCTGTCTTCTCGTTCCCGCCACCCCCGTCTCCGCCGACGCGGGGCATTCTTCATCCTTCCCTCACCCTGAAACATATTCGACGTGGCGTTGATTTAAACAATCGACGATCTAGATGACGGACAAACGACAGTAAAATTCAATTTTAAAATAAAATTTATTTGCGTTTCACGAAAGATTTCAAATGATCTATAATACTTCCTTAATGAAACTCGTGTGTAGGGCGTGACAAGAATAAATAAATCAAATCGGACTACTTAGAACGGGGGGAATGCGCGAACGTTCGCAATAATTCACGCAGCTACTCGCACGCACGCGTGCGTGATATTGCGTGCTCGACCTTCTTCGTGACTACTTGATCGTTTTATACCGATATACACGACCGTAATTCACGACTTCTTTAACAAATTTTCTATATCCTCAAAGAATCTTTTTTCGTTTCTTTCCTTTTTTATTTATTTTCTTATTATAAATTCTTATTCCGTAAGAATGATTGATCGATAGGAGGATTATATTTCCTTCGTCGTTTGATTTTCATATTTTGACGTATATTTTATTTTATTAATAGTTCGCGAATAGATCGTTAGATTATATCATAACGAATCGTCTAATAACGTCGAATATTTAATAGGAAATTATTTTCTTCAAAAAAATTCGACTATTTTCGTGTCTCATCTTTTCTATCTTCCTTTGTCATATTTTCTTTTCTTTTTCGAAATTATCAAACTTTGTAAACATGTTTAATGTATAAGTTATTGGATTCTTCTATCATATAACTATTCAAAGAGACGCCATATTACGATCTCGAGATCGTGCAGTCGTAAAAAAAGTAAAAAAATTAAATATCTGAAGCACAGGCAGAAGAAGACATGTTCCAAATGTGTTCACAAGAAACACGCGACGTCGTCTCTCGATAATGATATGTATCGTTATTCCGGAAGTGCGTGTTATCGTGTTAAAAATAACATGTACCTAAGTATAGTGGTAAAGCACGCGATTTAATGTATATAACTCATAATCGAAATTGAATTAATGAAATCGACAAACGATAACTGCCACGCTATATATGATAAGAATCGCACCTACCGTGCCTGTTTCTTGGCTCATGTCTGTATACGTAAAATTATTTAATATTTGATCACTATAGCTTGCGTAAAACTTACGTCATTATTTTTAAAGGAATGTGAAAAGAAGGAAGAGGAGGAGGAGGAGAAGAAGAATAATTCGATAATATCGAATAAACGAAAATACAAGAGGATCGTGCACGAGTCAAAATAATTTTCCAAAATCAATTTCTCCTCGGGGAGATATCTTTTTCAAAGTCCCAAATTCAATTGACCGAAGCACGAATTGAAGCTTTGCCAGGATTGTATCAAAAATAACGAAAATAAGAAAATTTTATCGTAGGTAGTAGACTATTTCGAAGATATCTTCGTTTATTTCCCCCTTTCTTTCTCTCTCTCTCTCTCTCTCTCTCTCTCTCTCTCTCTCTCTCTCTTTCTCTCTTATTCGTACTTTCATTCGAAGTTAAGAGAAAAACAAAAAAATAAGATCAGCGAATTCCATGGACTCACTCAAGAATCTCTAGTCATCGGCATCACGTCGGCACGAGCCACATTCGAACAGACCGAAATTAATTAAATTCGGAACATTCGCGACACGACGAATGTACCATTGGAATGTCGTGCGTCTTGTTCGACAAAATTGGAATGCACTTTTTTACTTTGATCCAGACAGATACACGCTTCACATACGCTTACAATGTTTTACATAACTTTTGCGAGACGTGGATACATATTTACACTGAAAGGAATTCACTCGATTCTTTTTAGCGATAATAAAGAAAAAAGAGAGAAAAAGAAATGAAGAGGAAAATATAAAAAAAAAATAATAAGAATAAGCTGGTTTCACGCGTTAATTGACAACGAACAGGTTGCATGAACATTGTTATGACTACTTCTCGGCAAAACTTGAAGATAAAGAAGGTACTTTTGAAGAGAGGTACTTTTTCAACGCGATCGTGACAAACACCGCAAGTACTTATATTCCATTAGTCGCGTTTGTACGAGAGGTAATTCGCGATGCAAATAACCAATAAACATTCGCGATGCTTTGTCATCGCAACGAAGTGTAAAGACTGTATATACACAATGAGGGTGCAATCCGCCATAGAAGTTTATTTGTTAAACGATAAACTACTTTGTCGTTTGGGTTGCCAATAAATAGGAGAAGAACATTCTTTTCTCTCGAAATTCCTTAAAAGATCCATGAACTAGTGAATTAAAAGCATGGATATACTTATATATACGTGTGTGCGCGCGTATGTGTGTAACTATACGTAACAGAATGATAATCAAATTCCACGTATTCCAGATCAAGCTTACTCTTGGCGAATTCCACGGATGATGCTTCTTTATCTTTGCTGGATGTTGGCAATCTCAGAGATAGGCTATAGATAGAAAAAACGGGGGAAGATATACTAAGCATTTTGACGATGATAACGACGAGAACGAACTACTATACTCTTTGTGTTTAATCAAGCGTAAACAAAGAATTCATGACTCTAATTCTTCGGTTAGCTCTTCTGTATGCAAACATATGAACATATATACATAGTTTACACATAAAAGAGTATACATATACATATTTACATATATATGTTTATATATAGACTTTGTATAAATATAAAATAATTACAACGAAGAAATATAAGTAAATAATAACAAAATCAAAAGTAAATTAACAAAAGCAATTTTCTTACCGATAAATGGCGATGAGGCGCTAGGAATAGATCTTCATGTATTGATGGATCCTTTAGATCCTTCCTCCTTTCACGTTTCTTTCCTCGCGAGAGAAAGACTTTCACGACACGAACTCTCTCTCTCTCTCTCTCTTTCTTTCTTTCTTTCTTTTTTCTTTTTCTCTTTCTTCAAGGACGCGATGTTCTCAATAATTGTCGAAAAATATTTAGGGACACCTTCGAAATGAAGAGATAAAGAAAAGAAAAAGAAAAAGAAAGAGATATAAAGAAAGGATTCTCAGCTACGAGCTGATTCTCTCAACGGTGGAAAGCAAGATGCCACCTTGGTGAAAGCCTCCACGAAGAAGAGGCTCCCTTGGCGCGGCGAGTGCCGCTCCCGCTAAGCGGAAGATTATCTAAATAGAGTCTGTGCCACACGAGAGAGAAAGAAAGACAGAGAGAGAAAAAGAGAAAGAGAGAGAGAGAGAGAGAAAGAGAGAGAGAGAGAGAGAGAAAGAGAGAAAGAGAAAAAGAAAAAAAAGAGAGAGAAAGAGAGAAAAGAGGAGGAACGCGCAACGAGCTGGGTATTTATACGTCGTATCTTTCGAGAGCCAAAGGCCGAGAACAAAACAGAATCATCCCTCTGATCTTTGCCAGCTTCTTCTATGAAATCATGAAAGTTAATTGTAATAGAAAATTGCAGTACAACTAATGTTCCGATTCTAAAGATTCAAGTCTATATTTTTTTCGTCAGACTTCCTTCCAGACAAGTTATCTTATACGACTCTCGAAAGACTTTATCATAACGTTTCGAAACGGAAAATCCATTCGTAGACAATGTAGCATCTATGTATATACGTTTCTCTCAGTGTGAGGAGTACATTGACCCCGAAACAGTCGGAACTTCTTTCGAATAACGTTCGAAGTATCCGTAAAAGGCGACGTCGAACGTTTCCGGTAATAACAACTACTTATAATTTCAAGTCTATATAGATTCTAAATGAAACAAGAGATACGATTTTGTTTATCTCTTTTCTTTTTCTCCTTTTTTCTTATTTTTTATTTTTTTTTTTGCTTGTTTTTTTTTAATCTCTTGTTCAAACGTCCTCAAAAAAGAAAAAAGAAAACTATTACACAAATTTTACTCGTTAAACGTTCGATTTGAACGATCTTTCTCGTACGATAAAATTGTAACTGCATATATGAGTATTAGAAATAATTATTTTCTCTAGTCTTATATGCTCAATTCACGATATTTAAACGATAATTTAAAGTCGACGATAACGAACCGATACACTTTCGTGTAAATTTAAAAAGAAAGAAATAACAAAAATGTGCTCGAGGCCATATCGATAAGCTCGCGAGATATCGTTGGCTGTCTAAATTCGTTCAACGAACGTTCGGAAAGTTTCTTCGAAGGTTGATCGCGTTGAGCAAGCGAGCGGTACGCCTCTAATTAAGAGCGCAATGATCGCTTTACGCGATTACGGTGGTAGCTCGGTCCGTTAGAGAGCCGGACCGATAAAGAAGTTCGAATTTAGACATTTTTACGCGTCTCGTGTAGTCAGCTGTCCCGCTATACGTCTGTTTTATACCAACTACCCGCTATACGCCGTTTCTGTCCTCTCTCTCTCTCTCTCTCTCTCTCTCTCTCTCTCTCTTACTCTCTCTTGCTCTCCCTCTCTCTCCCTCTCTCTCTTTCTAATAAGAGATATTTTTCTATTTTCCTTTTCAAATTCGATCGCTTTCCACGAAAAAATATGGATTATGTCGAGTTTGTATATTCAAATGTAAGGAATAAAATATAATTGATAATAAATGAGGAATAAAATGATCGAAAACTAAAACGATTCAGTGAAAGATTGAAATACGCTTAAATATTATAGAATGGAATATTTATTTGAAAATATAATAAAGAGAAAACTAAAAAAAGAAAAGAAACAAGATAGATAGGTAGATGTTGATTATGTCCATTCGATTTGTTGACAATCAAAATACACAACTAAACGTTGGATGAGAAATAAGAAGAAAGGTGAGAGAGATAGATAGATAAATAGACGAAGACAGAGAGGGGGAGAGAGAGAGAGAGAGAAATATAAGATCATGAACAGCTTCTTCAGACTTTTATTCTCTTTTCGCACGAAGTACGTAACAAGACGAGAGACATTTTCGAATTTAGCTGTGCCTAGTGAAATTTATTGAGCGGACTATGACAAATAGGCAACGTTCATTGCGTTACATAAAACGATAATGCGCCGCGTAGCCTCTCGTAATTGTTTGCTTCATTCGAAGTTGACATTTTCCAGTCCCATCAACGAAGTTGAACTTTATAGAACGCTCAGCAGCCACTTTGTATCTATATCGACCTAGTTTTAACAAGAGGTAATAGCAAAGTTCGCCGAGTCTTCGTCAACGGACTGATATATATAACTGGTAATGATTCTGTTCCTTCGACTCCGGTTAGTTTTGATTCATCGAGGATACTGTTTCACTCGGAAGTGAGAGCAGGTTGTTGCGTCGAGAAGAAAATAGAAGAAAATAGACGAATAAGAAATAAGAGGAGAAGAAATCTCAGTTCTAATACAGCCCACGTTGGATGGGACTCTTTCCTGTCTTCGACTTGTGTCTTTACCATCACAATACCTTTCGTCTATTCTTTTTTCTTTATCTCTCTCTCTCTCTCTCTCTCTCTCTCTCTCTCTCTCTCTTTTTCTTTATCTCTTTATCTCTTTCTTTCTCTTTCTTTCTCTTGGAGAGTACGCGCGCGCATCCAGCTTCCGGGATCGTCGGAATTACGGACAAATTTTGCCTTTCTCCGATCGCCAACAACTACCAACGATAGATATAACAGAAAAGGGATAGCTATAGTTCTAACGTTCGATGGGTTCGTTCTCTCTTTAAGAAAGAAATTTACTTTACTATTGTCATACACATTATAATGATAAAGGCCTAAATGAATAAGTTATACTTACTTTTTTCGCGACAAATTTCCGCGGGATTCGTCCAAGAAATGAGGCCTACTCCCACGACGTTAATTTCCATGCGAACTCGTGTGTCTTCGGGTTCTCGTTCGTATTTCGTTTATTTTTTTTCTTTTTGTTTTTGTTTATTTTCTTTTCTATTTTTTTTATTTTCTTTCGATTAGATTTCCTTTTCTAAAATTCGTTTTATAAGTTTATTATTTTATTATTTTTTTCTCCTTTTCTTCTTTGTTTTATATTATTTTCTTTCCACGATCGATTCTAATGATAATCTATATGAAAGAGACGCAAACGTATTTAAACAATTTGAGGAATTGATAATGATAAATAATAGATCGACTCGATCGATTTCTCAAAGATAAATCTTATAACAACGGAACGAAATCTCTTTTTCTTTTTATCTTCTCCTCTCTCTCTCTCTCTCTCTCTCTCTCTCTATCTATCTCTTTCTTCGTATCTTCGTTTCGACGTCCTCGTTACGAATGATACGTAATGCGATCTCTCGAATTGTTGGATCCAAAACGATTCATTTTGAAGGATCACAATACCAGGCAATTAATTACATTTACGAATATCTTCTTTGTTATCATAAAAAAAACTTTTTTCACACGATTACGATTTATTGCGAAATGGATTCACTTGAAAAATATTCACAGAGGAAAAGTAACCTCTTGTAGACTGATTTCTTCGAAGTAGAATACACCCACGAGAAAGCAGAACTCGGGGAGGTCTTTGAAACGAAGTAAAGTCGGCGTCTCGATCCTTTTATCGACCTTGAGCCACTCGATCCCCCTTACCCTCGATCGGTCATGATGCTGTTCCAAAACTCACCGTCTCACTCCTTCTTTCTTTTTTCTTTCTTTCTTTCTTTCTGTTTCTTTTCCTCTCCCTCTCCCTCTCACTCTTTCTCTCTCTTTCTCTCTCTTTCTTTCTCTCGGTATCTTATTTCGTTCGTAGGGAGAACGAAAGGACGTCGTCCTTTCCTCGAGATTTTCTTGGCTTCTCTCGAACGACTATCTCGACCGGCTACGAAATGTAGGAGGAGGAGATGAAGGTGGGGGAGGAGGAGAAGAAGGAAGAGGAGGAGAAGAGTGCTGTTTTAGCAGAGAAAGAGATAAAGGTTCGAGTAGGTGCGCGGTTTCTTGGCACAAGAACGATTCGATGAGGAGGAAAAGAAGAAAAAGAAGAAGAAGAAGGAAGAGACGGAAGAGGAAGAGAAAGAGGGAAGTGAAGAAATAAGAGGATAAAGATAAAGCGGAGGAGATGGAGGAGGAAACGATAACGAGAAAGACGCGAAAACGTACGCGAAACGGAGGTTTTCGTATCGGTCGCGCGACTAGAAGAGAACTACGAGTTTTTCGTGAGTTCGGCTCCAGCTGGGCACGAGACAAGTCTGGTTCCGCTGTTACTGCTGGTGCTGCTTGTGTTGCTGGTACTCATGCTGGTGTCCGGATTGGACGCAAGAGACCATGGCGCACGCCTATGCAACCGAACCGAGTCGAGACGTCGAGAAAGAGAATCGCCGAATCGCGGAATCGAAGTCGAATCGTGCCGTGTCGTATCGTACTGTGTCGACGCGAGACGAGAGACGCGGACGTACCGGCACTGAGGAAAACTTCAACCGTCTCTCCGGAGAGAGAGACCGCGCTGGAGACCCAAAGGGATGGGTCCCCACATAATATACTTGGAGGGGGATCTCTTAGTATACCATCTTTCGGATAACTCCAACTAAGCATTCATTGATCGTTCTCACGATAGATCTTTCTTCAAAATCATTCTTAACGAATTATTTCCTTATCTATTTTATCATCATTTTTTTTAATATTTTGTTAATTAATATGATGTTGTTTTCGTTAACTTTATTGAAATTCAATACGCGTAATCTTTTACCGCTTAGCGTATGTTCTTATTAACATTTCTACGAACTGATCGTATACATAACCTGATATCCATTCAACGACAACGACATTAATTTCATCGTCTTCCGTTCGTAGCGCTAGCAGTTTTCATTCGATACATCTCTTTCTTTCTCTCTCTCTCTCTCTCTCTCTTTCTCTCTCTCTCTCTGTCTCTCTGTCTCTCTCTCTCTCTCTCTCTCTCTCTCTCTCTCTTTTCTACGTAACGTGCGTGAGTGAGAATATGTATACTCAAAGTGTATCGTAATAGAAAAGAGTGGGATCATGATATACATGGCCTTGAATAGTTCTCGTGGCGCCAAGTGCATCTCGAATTTGAATCGTTCATACGAAATGCGAAATTTATTTATTATGTTTAAGAAACGATATGATATAATTTTGATCTAAACATTGATGTTGATTTCGTTTAAGATAATCATTTCCTTTTCTTTTTTTATTATACGATTTTATCATTAATCATATAGAAATATCATTCTTGGTTCGTTATAATATCTTCGAGAATGAATTTTATCTATCCACTTTCAAAAGATTTTTTTCTTTTGCGGCACCAAAATGGCTACTCGATGCGGAAACCGCAGGCGCGTAATTCGAAACTATTGAACTACATTTTCTACAGGGTAATCACCGAATACGAAGCTTCAAGCGGTTTGTATGCTCATATACGAGATCTTTGTTGCTGTACGACGGACGAACACATTTAAATATTATACATCGAGCTTTATGCTTGATTTTTTGCACGACTATTCTTCGAATAACGATGAGGGGATAAATTGAAATATTAAAAGAATTGTACGTACCAAAATACAAAGATTCGCAAGACAATTCGCAAGAGAATTGGTCGACGTCATGACCTTCTTACTTTATGGAGGGGAGCAGATGGTACGATGACACGACGCCATTAGTAGTACTCTCGTTGACGCGTGCATTACTTTTAATATCATATCTCGAATTATTTCCTCATTTGAGAAATCGTTCAATTATTATCTGTGATTTTCTTCGAAGGAGATGCGAATAAATCAAATCAAACCTTCGCGTTTCAAACGACGAGTCTAAGTGACCTGAAAATATTTATTCTCAATTAAAGAAGAGAGGTTATCTGTATCGTACGCGCTTTTACATTGTAAGTTTTGATGATTTTCTATATTCAAATTATATATTATATTTGCGCGCGAATATTTCGATTTAAACGTTATCTTCTGTCATAATATTCAATTTTGTAATGTTTACAGTAACTTTAGTTATTGTTTAAAAGTTGGTAACTCTGATACGACGACGCCCAACTTTTATGTACAAGTGGGTGGAGCGTTGCTTGCGTTTAGGTTAGGAAGTTAAATGATTAGTGTTTTCGTTGATCAACACGAGGATGATAGCTGGGATATTATATATTTGAGAGTCTTTGTTTCAGCATCAAAATGACAGTTCTACAATCCTGCTGGTCTCCGTGCATTTGGACAAATAATGTTAAAACAGGATCCAAAGTTATTGCATTTTATACAATGGTACATATGAAATATGAATGCAAATTAGTCAGTGATTCATTTCCTTTATGATAGACAATGTTAATATTTTGTAGGCACTGAGCATTATATTTATTACTTTAATATGCTATCAAATGAACGGTGGAGATTCTACGCAGTTGTACAATCCTCTTTTTGAAGCAGATATTAGAGGATGTAAGTCTAAAAAATATATATAATGTAATTAAAGAAGATTTAACAAAAAGATTGTTATTACTTTCAGCGATGCAAGTTATAGGAAGTTGTTTGATTGTTTACTTTCTACTTCTTACTATTTCTGCTGCTTTAATGATATATGGAATACGCGAGGGTGTAAGAGGATGGCTACTACCATGGTTAATACTGTGGTTTATCATTTGCCTTTTCCTCTTAGTATTTGGATTATGGCTATTAGGAGGATATTATATTTATGTAAGTGTAGAAATAATTAATTTCGATAAGACATTCATATTATGATTACTTCTTTTTATAGTTGGACTCTGTATTTGCTACACTATGTATATGGCTTTGGATGTCATATAACGTAAGTAATCCAGATCATGGTATAAAATTTATTAAATATAGTTTTTTTTTTGTGTATTTACATCTGTATGTTTTATCAAATATAGATTTACTGTTGGTTAGTCGTCTACTCCATGTATAAAGTATTCGAAGAATTACAGTCGCCTAATATTGAACTACTTTGGCCGTGATAGGTATATTGCAATAATTTATTAGTAAAAAAGTGCCTTTGACTACATACTCAACACCAAAGTAAGCTGAAATGCTCTACACCTACGTTGTGTTCTTTTTTACTTCGTTTGTGTCTAGTTTTAGGTGTTGTCTCATGATCTATTTCATAAGTCTTGCCAGAGTGCAAGAATAATTAATAAACCATCAATAATAATAGTATGTTGTCTATCGAATATTATAGATCTGAAAATAGATCTTTAAGAAAATTAGATTAAGATTTAAAAAATTTTTTAAATGGCAGAAGTCTAAGAAGTCCATATTTCATATATTTAATACAAGTAGTACGATTCGACAAGAGAAATATAAAGGCACAATACAATAACTAATAGAATAAATGAGCTTGATGATATAAAGTTTTTACGTAGCTGTTGTGTATATTGAAAAAGACTTCTGTATTCAAGAATATGCACTTTTATGTGCAATTACGAGGTTCTTATATTTTTTATATGAGCTTTGAAATACAAACGTTACTAACATTAGTACAAGTAGAATATTTACATATTTATATGTCAATTATTTACTTATTTTCGTAATTTTATATTTCTATTATACATATTTCTATGTAACATATGTTGTATATACATGTCGCTTTTTCTCATTATTTTCAAATAAAATTTTTTATTATATAAATAATGTTCGAACAGTATTAATATAGATTTATAGTGACTAATACGTAGTGAATTATATTATCTTAATTATAATCTACACGATGAAATCAAATAAATAAAAAAAAAATCATAATCGAATATAAAAACAAATATATAAAAATTATGGTACACAGTTCAATACGTATAATAATATCGAATATCGATATAATTGTTACCTTTATCGAGATATGCGCATAGTACATTTATATTCACAAGGTGTTAACGCTGTAGCAAAAACTGACCGTTATTAAACGTTGGTGACCGTTCCAACGGTTTTTCAACGAACGTAAGGCGAATCACACTATATTTGTGGAGTTAAAAGCGTCAAGTAGTGGAAAAGAAAGTGTTTAATTATGTATATACGTAGAACTCGTATAAAGTTCGACATTGAAACATGAAGATGTTTATATATTTTGAGAAGATATATGTACTTAAGTTTAAAAAAACTAACTAGCATAATGATAAAGTATCGTTGGGTCTTCCCAACATGTAGGTTATAATTTCTCTGGAAATATCGTTAAAGTCGATTAATTATGTCAAATAAGCTCTAAACTTCTTCATTGAATGATAAATGAGCGAAAAAAAATAAATTGTATTTTTTTTTCTTTTTGTGTTCGACATACTTTATCGCGAACGTTCGTTCAGTTAATATCGCAAGGATTCCACGAAAAGAATCATCGAAAGGAGAAACCCTCTACCATATGTAGCAGTCGTCGTAAAACGTTAATGGGTCGGCCACACGATTTTACGATGTTTCATGAAAGATGTAAAAAAGCACACGATAAACTCTGAAGAATTTGCAAGACGAGAAATATCTGACTTAAAACGAGGAGAGTCATCATCTTTTGATACATTGAAATTTATTCTTGATTAATAGTAAAGTACTTCTTTCAATTGATCTTTTAGTCTGTCGATCCTTGATATTAATGACTTTGTTTTTATAAAAATATAAGCTTTCTCAGGTTAAAGGCAAATAACGGATTTCAGTTTTTCCAAAGAAGAAGGAAGAGTTTCGAAGAACATCTGGCAGAGGTCACGTCGGTAGTATATCTACTGCGACTGTTTGAAAAAGACCATCGCATCGTTTTCTATGACTCATTCGATTAATAGTATATTTTTACTTTTAATTATCCTCGTTTATATCTCATTATTTTACCAACTTTTTCAATAGTAAGTTGTAATTAGAATATAATCACAAAAATTATCAATAAGATTATATACTATACGTGTATATACATATACATATACATATACATTTATATTTACATTATAATCACGGAAATTCGTTAATAATAAAACGATGAATATTTATAATTTAATAATATCAACAAATTCGTGCGGTATAATATAACTTTTCTTAATTTACAGACGAAGCAGTAGTCTCTTTGTTTCTAAAGAAGATACGAAGATCTATCTACTTCGTAAAAAAGGTTAAGTTATCATCCATCTACTCCTACATACATACATATATATATACGTACATACATATACACGCGTGCACGCACGCACGTACACATACATATGTTATCATTCAACCGTCACTTCTTAAGGTAGTGTTAATTTCACATGTTAATGTATATATTAGTTGTAAATGATATTTATCGAAATAAAGCGTACTAAGAATCGTTTAGGGGACTCCTTATAAAACTTTATCGTTTATGAACAAAGTGGCAATGGACGATCGATTTCAAAGATGTGTTCGTTATTGAATTTTCATTGATAGGACGAGTTTTGCAATGAGTTTGTCACAGCAGGTAGTACTTCCTGCAGTGCACAATATTTCCTTCATTTTCTACTTCTAGCTTTGTTCAAGCACATTTAAAATCGTAGGCGGTACAGAAGTGCTGATAAGACCGATACGCCGACGTAAAGCGACCGTAAATGGTCCGTAAAAGTATGAATGAAGCGTTCTTGCCTCAACGATAGCAAGCATTGCCCCAACGATCACGCTTCTGTAACATAGCTTTCTAGAAAGAGGTTTGACTTTTATGGTAGAAATAAGAAGAGAAATTTGTCGTTTATTAACGTAATTGTTGAGATGTATGTACACTTACATATTTGAAAAAATTGTAAACTCTAAGATGATTTTCAAACTCTATTAAAAAGACATTATTACTACTTTGTAAACAATAGTTTTCACAATTACCAATAACATATAAATACTACTTAATTATAATTAAAAAGAAATTTCGTTAACGGTAAGATGATTTTCGAATTCTTTTTAAAAGACATATTATCGCTACTTTTGTAAACAAACTTCATTTTTTACTATTATTAATATATATATATATATATATATATATATATATATATATATATATTTATATACTATCAAATTAAAATATAAAATAAAATTTACGTACTTATTGATTTCAAAATAATGTATCTCAAGATTAACAATGATATTGACATTCATTGTAGTTTGGAAATCATTGAAGCCAATAGATAAATACGATTGATTGTTTTTTTTTTTTTAAGAAACACTATACACATATACATACGTACGTACGGAGCACGTAGTGTTTATTCGTCTCTTTTACCGAAGATAAACGATATCTCAGTACTATAGCGAACGTTCGAAGGTTAACATCGTCTCAATTAAATTTCTCGTATAGCTAATAGTAATACGATTTAAAGAAAAAGAAACATTGAAAATTCGGTGTATCGTACGTTCAATTTATCTCTCTCGATCTTCTAAGAAATCAGTCGTCATGTAACATGATATGCGTTGCGATTTCACCACAAAACGATTTCCAAGGATCTCTTCTAGTGTAGTATGCTGTTAACTAAAGGATACGGGAAGTAAGAGTTAATGTCGTTTCCACGAAAGAAATAAGTTTTGCCCGTAACGAGTCTCATCCGAGAAATTCCATTACAATCGTCAATCTTATAATCGTTTTGCCTCTTGCTTCCATAACTCTGTAATTCGATGATCGTGTAATCATCGAACGATATACACTACGTTTCTCTTAAGTGAGAGCGAGAGCGTTTACGTCGTTTCGAGTACATTCGCAGGGAATAATCGTCTTGGAATACCGGTATTCAACGTGGCACGCGCGTTAAAACGACATTGAGCTAGCTTTTATACGTTTGAGCATAATGTTCGAGTTCGATAGAAAATTGAGATAAAAAACCAAGAAAGAAAGAAAGAGAGAGTATTATTAATTCAAATTCTATACTAGAACCCATTACACTTTATTTTTTACCTCTTACTCCATACATTTCTCTCTTTCTCTCTCTCTCTCTCTCTCTCTCTCTCTCTCTCTCTCTTTCTGTCTTCTACTTTTTTATTTCTTAACGATTCTCTTTCATTAATACTTTTCCTGATTATTCGCTTTTCACCAGGAATAATCATAAGTCAAGAAACCAGCTTAACGAGCGTCAAGAACATTTACGTAGTAATAATAATAGTAGTATAGTATAATACTATCGATGAAAGTTTCAAACATACAATCGATCGAGATTACGACTCAATTTAGTTGATGGAACTATGATCATCTTCCTTTTTTTCTTTCATATTATATATACATATATACACATACATAAATATATACATACCTATACATACATACGTACATATCTACCTATACATATCTTTTCTAGTTTGTCTCTTATTTTTGAATATGAGTCTAAGCGTAGATCACGTTGTGAGAGAAGAGGCACCGGTAAAAATAATTCCTTCGATGTACCAGAGATTTACGGTATGTCACGTGAAAGGTCTTCGGTCAAATTGTTTCACATTGATTTTCAGGTCGAAGATGAGAGAAAGAAAAAGAAAGAGAGAAAGAGAGAAAGAGAGAGAGAGAGAGAGAGAGAGAGAGAGAGAGAGAGAGAGAAAGGCGTCCATACCGCTTCGTCTGCCCACACGCGACGTCTCTGAGAAGGCATTGTGGTTTCCAGGCACTTATTTATGTGCAGCTCGACGTTTCCGCCCCTTCCGCCTGTAGTTTAGGGCCGTTGACTTGAACGAAAGCGTCCAAGGAAGGCATCTGCCATCATTGTCGTCGTCGTCGTCGTCGTCGTCGTCGTCGTCAACGTTTCCCTTTGTCACTTTGTCGCAACATCGATGACTTTTTCTCTCATCGTCTCACGCGACAGGTGTAATTACACGGAGAGGACTAACTCTCACTTCTATGTCCTCTAATGGAAATTCATTTTTCGTCCTTCGAAACGTCTTTTGCGCAAATGAATCGGTAGAATGAAATAAATCGTGTTACAATGTTCTAAGACCAATATCACAGAGAGTACTCTTTTGAGTTAATAACTATAGTTGCATTTATATTTATATAACTCTGTTTAATTGTTAATATAAGAAGAAAGGATTTAGAAAGAGAATGTAAGACGTTGAGGGTTTACAGGAAAATTCGCATCTACTGTTTATACATGATTACTGATTGATATGTATCAAAATATATCAGTATTTACGTTAGATGTATAACGATACTATTATTAAAAAAAAAAGCATAAACATGCGTATATTGAAAGCCATATGATCAAGTCTATAATTTCTTTTTTCTTTTCTTTTTTTTTTGTAATAAATAAATTTATCGGGGTTCATTTCGAATCGTGCGTATCATTTAAAACAATCGAAATGTGTTTTCGGTTCAATTCAATATATTTACTTGGTCGATTTTAAAATTCGATAATTAAGCATAAATCTTGAATGCTTTATATAACTTCACATCGAGATTTAACGGATTCTGCAGGAGTTTAATATCGGAAAAAAGAAAAGAAAAAAGTTGAGTGAAAAGAACTACGCCCGTTGACCCGAAACTCATTCTCTCTTCCTCTCTCTCTCTCTCTTTCTCTTTTTCTCTCTCTCTCTCTCTCTTT